AGGGTGTAGTCATGATCTACTAGGGGGGCTCAAGCTTTCTAATGGAATTTAGGGATTGCAGCGCGTGGGGGCGAAAAACAAGCGTGGTGAGGGTTTAGGTGCGGGTTTAGTGCAGGTGTCAGCTAAAGAATGTCTTGGGGGCTTTGATGTTGCAGAAATAGAGTGAGTGAGAGAGACAACCCGTTCCTGAAGGAAAAAGGAGACAACGATTAGCCCCCCTCCTGAGCCTCAACCAAGCAGAACCCTGGTCTCAGATTTCGACCTCAAAGAATCGACAACCCACCAAAAGCCATCAGCCCCCAACCCCCCTCTAAGCAACCCGCCAAAATTACCCCCACAACCACTGTAACCGGATAGAAGCACCTGCCTCCCAGGTATCACCGCCAACCCTCCCAACCCAAAACAATTTACCGGTTTAACTTACACAAAAATCTCCGAAATTTTGAAAAAATAACAAAAAAGACACCTCCCGTCTGCGGCAAGAATGTTTGGTCAACAAAATCAGCACCGAACTCCTCCACAAACTGAAGTATCCACCTCCCCCACCTCCGGCCCGAGCCGCCCAATTAAAGTCTTGTCCTCGCGAAAAAACACGCCTAAACCCCGGCACGGAATCAAGAAAATGACCGGCACTACGCCCTACTTTTCCCCGTGTTTTGGGTTGAAAGGAGTGTTGGACTTCCGGAAAGTGAAATTCAGAAAAATTCTAAAGATCTACGAATAAGAGTTTACAAAAAACTAAACAATTAAGAACTCTAAGTTTTGAAGCTTTTTTATCTAATTGACAAGGAAAACGAGAATTGTGAATTTCGCATGCTGAAAAGTAGTCCGAAACTACTAATTGTAAAGTTCAATTCCATACGAAGTCACGTTTTAGCTAAAAAGGAAAAGGTTCTATCATAACATAGATTTTTGGATGCCTCTTGGGACCTTCGAAAGCGATCGAGCAGCTGTCCCAGGTATTTGCCACCGTAGAAACCAAAGTTCACATCACACAACAGGGCACGGCTAGAGAAAAACCACACCCCGAAATTGCCATTTCCTTGTACACGCCCTGTACCTTTAATGATCACCCTGCCTCCCTAACGAGGAAAACGAAGCTAATAGCTATAATTGCGCCAGAGTGGTTGTGCAAATCCTTGCAAGTTTCCCCCTAAAAATGGAGCTGTGAATAAAGCGCGGGTTTTAATTGAATTCCGGAGTTCCCGATTTTTCTGGCTGAGTCGGGTGCGGGCAAAAGGCTATTTCCCCGTTTAGGGCTACGTTTTATGGTAATTGCAAAAAATTTCCTGCCGTTCACAGGGGATGGTGACTATATTAAGGCGGCCTGATCGAAAGGTTACATTTAGAAAGCTGATAAATAAAACCTAAATCAATTCAAAGTTAAATGAAAAAATCCGCCTTGAAAAGGTACTTGAAATCATTAAAAAATGCTACTGAATAACCCTTTGGTTCAAACAGTCATTTAAAGCTGCGCAATTTAATAGATAGGTCAATAACGCAAAATTGGGTAATCTGTCCCGCACGTTGATTTAATGTGCCATAAATTACGCTAATCAGGTTGCCCGGTCAAAAAGTAGGTCTAGGCCCTGTGGAAATGGGGAAAAAATAGATAAAAAGGAATACCAAAAAGTCCGCTGAGAAATAAATCTATGCAATATTAGAAGCTGCTTTAATTTTGGCATCTGCGGAAACAGGGAAGAAATCTAGTGGAGAGCAATACCAAAAATAAATATCTAACAATAATTTTAGCAATGGCCGTATAAAGTTTGTCTAATCTGCCGATGTCATAAGCGTACCCCTTCGTAAGGAGCACGATCGCAATAGCGTTCCCGTAGATAACCGCCCGTTCTTATGCATTGCGTGTCCTATGGCCTAGCATAAGATGCCCGGCAGAGTCGCCAGCCACACCGGGAGATAGAGAGGGGGCTTTTCGCTTTTCACAAACAACCTGCCCCCTCATTGTCAAGAATAAAGGCCCTTAAGCTATGGCCAAAGCTCGTGCGAGAAGAAAAGAAGCCGAGGACCACAGACTTTTTTGGTAGAAACCCAGCAGCTATTTGGAGCCGGAGACCAAAAAGAAAGAAGGGGTGAAATCGCCTGGAAACGTGGACCACTGGGTCCCACCTCGAATGTCTCGAAGCCTTTGGCCATTCATGAGAGAGAGAGAGAGAGAGAGAGAGAGAGAGAGAAAGCTTTATCCATGATGGAACGGCTGCTCAAAGAGCAATAATTTTTTTCAGGGGACTCATCCATGTAAACACTATTTTGGAGGGAGAATGCATTCTGCTTATGGCCAGAATATTGTTTACGAGGTGGGGGATTGGTGGGGTTTGAGACTAAGTTTGGCCCTTTATGCTTAAAAAGGGGCTATGGGCACGTAGCAGGTGAGATGGATGGGTTGATGGATGACGAATTGGTTATTTGCACGACGTGCCGTGGGAATGGGCTATGACACCACCTTCATCATCTGTTCCTGGTTTGGGAAAGAGCAAAACGATAATATTTGTGTAAAGACATTGGTAATCTATATCTACGCTATATCGATGAGCGCTTTTAAGCCTAAGCTCCTAAAATCCGGCGGACTGCACGAACTTTCACGCAGCTAACTGACGTGAGGAATGCGCACACTTAACGTAAATTTGGTTAAAGGAACCCCTTGGCCGGGCACCGAGTGTTTTCTAGACAAGCGTTGCTGGTTGTGCCCAAACTGAATAGGATCTTTCAAATATACCTTGTAATATTGAGAACATTAGATCGATAGCACGCGGGAGCGCCATAACCCATCCAATTATCCAAAAATTCCCCTGAGGATGGGAAAAATGTCAACAATACGATGGATTTAGCTCCTAGATTTTCTTTATCAGGATCACAATAATTTCTCGTAAAATCATGTTCATAAATTTTAATTAATTTCCTTAAAAAGACTTTTTTAAACAGATTGAATTTCGAAAAGACCTAGGTTCTTTAAGGGTATCGAAAGATCGCCGATTTACTGGGCCGAAGTATGCCTAGCAATGGCATCCAAAGACCTTATTAGGAGATTTTACACAAAAAAACTACAGAAAAGTTAGAAAAAAGCAACTGAAAGCTTGCATAGAAAGCAGCGGCATTTGGGTCTATTGATCTTTCTGCGTACTAAGCATTAGTTTGAAAAAGTATGAATTGACGAACGAGAAGTTTTAGCACAATGATTAAGCCAAAGCCGTCTTGGAAAAATTATCATAGAAAACCAACATAAGCGTGACTAGAAAGAATATGAAAAAAAGCGCCAAGTTGTTTATTGAACGGCCAGCTTGCTTGGGCCACCGCAGTCAATGTCGGCTCCCAGAATACGGAAGCACTAATGGGGCAATCTAACCTCAGACATCGGGCCGAAGATCTGCACATGGACCCCAGGGCCTCCCCCAAGCAAAGGAAAAGCCTCCCAGAAAGACCGACAACTAGCCATCCAATTGCGCCAAAAAATGCCAAGCAGCTCTCTACTCAAAAATACATAATTTGATTTGGATGGAGGGTTGCCGAAACTCCACTGGAATCCTTTATTCGGAAGTTTTCGTCGGTTCGGTTTTATACTAATAAAGTTTAGGGCATAAAGGAATTTTGAGAGTGAAGTCGTAATGAAAAAAATAAAATCTAAGGTATCGAAAATCGATGAATAAACCCTTTTGGATGAAATGGCAGAATTGAATAGACTTCTATTGCGTCTATTACAGAATCATATATAGCTATTCCGCCAGGTACAAATTTCCACCTCACGTCACCTGCCTTTTCAATCCAAAATAAATCAAGCGCCAGGTGATGATCGGGCAACACGAGAGAAAAATGATGATCGGCTATACGGAGCACTTACTACGAGCCAATGCACCGCTTACCAGCACGCGTCAGCTTCATATAAAAAAACTAACGGTCATGTAGAGAAAAGATTCATATAGAGAAGGAACGCCTAAATTTTAGTTTGTCACTGGCTACCCCGTCACACTCACGACGAGCCCTCTTTTAGCCCTCACCTAACGAAGCCAATAAATGAATTTAAAGCGCGGTGAGCAGTTCCGTTTTGCGCGGACAATATGTAAATCCTAGCTGAAAGCCCGAGCATCCTGGAGCAACACTTGAATTTCTAAAATTCCTTAATAGTGCCGGTGCCCAGCTGAAAACACGAAAATCGAATTTTATGAGGCAAATTAAATTAAGGATCCTGATAGTTGAGTAGCAATTTCGGAACAGAGCTTATGCCCAAAATGTTTGAAATTGAAAAGTACCATAGCCTGTAATTGCAAAGTCACTAGCTGGTCCGGATCCAGAGTGCAGACAATGTATAGCGAATGTGATACTCACTCAAAAACTGGAGGTCTTTGAAAAAGGCATGGTAACATAATAGTTAAATACAGCCCCGATCAGATACCAATGGCAGATAGCGACAAAGATACTGCAGTGTCAAAACATTTTTACGGAAATACATCGAAAAACGCAAAATTTTTAGACAATACCGTGCTACTACAGAGAGTCACTCAAAGCCCCCTCTAGCGGCCCGGAGAAATTTGCAATGTTGCTGTTTTATGTCTTTGCCGTAAGCTATCAAAATTTGTTTTCGTTGGTGAATCATATTCACGAAATTGACGACCCGAAAACCATGAAACCGGCGAAACGCTAGACCTTGTTAATTGATGATTTCAATAGGCAAGCGCGGTAAAGGTGCTTTTCCTCTCCCTTTCGATAGCTTTCGTAATGGCGCCCAAAACATGACGCTGCTAGTTTCTTCCGCCCCGGTCGATGGGTGAAATTTTACAACATTTTTATCAATAGATAATGATATCGCATCATTTGTAGAAAGCCAGAATTTTCCGCAGTTCATGACAATTACTGTTCAATGGGGCGTACAGCAGCTAACACAAAATCTATCAAGATATGTGGTGTGGTACCAACCCTCGAATCCTCTGTGTTCTTGCGTGTATTTAAATGATACACATGTGTTGTTTTATCAGAGGAACACTACATTAAATGCTGGTCGGGATGATGGAATAGATGATGGTCGTTGAGCTGTGGTCGGGATAGTGTGTCGTCTCAACGTGTGATGATGGATGATCAGGCTTAGAACTGATCGAGGTAGTCACGAAACTGAACCGGGTCCACCATATATAGCCGTTGGCCCGAGAGCGGCGGCTCGCCAAGTGATTCTGGAAGTGAGAAAAAATGTTTGAAAAGTTGCCTCGCTATGTAAAGGAGGTTTGGCACGTGGGTGGTTTATAAGGTATTCTGAATTATGAGGGTGTTTTTGGGGCTTGACGTTGGATGTGTCTCGTTAGTAAATAGGGTGGTACTGTAGTTTAAGAGCCATATTTCGTTAAAAACTAGTTGGAGAACTGAAACGACTAACAGTAATACTACTTACCCCAATCAGCTCGCTCCTCTTTCCAAAACGAACCAACGAGTTGCGCATGGCCCTCTTCTCGTAATTCCTGAAATTTGTTTTGAGCCAATGCCCAGAATCAGTGGCGCTTCCCCCAGAGGAGCCCCAGCCACATTCACCACAGCCTCCCCCTCCTCCGCCTGGGGGAAAATTGATGATTCGTTACTCGTCATGGGCCACCGGATAGATACCCTACGGGCTTTCCCGAAAATCCCGAGCACAAAGCAGAGTAATTTGGCTTGTCTGGGGCCCAATGCTAACTCGCCTTGTCAAATAGAATCCCATAACAGAGCTTAACGGGCAGATCATTATTACGTTAGCATTACACCCTCTAGAAAAACGGAGGCTACAGTAGGATATATATTTAGCATCGTGCCATCGCATAAGTTTTGACGATATCGCGTTTTCGCGAAAGGTCAAGGTCCTGCAGCGCCATTTTGTAGAGGGGTTTTTGTATCACATAAGCTTAGAAGTGCCCCCCCCCCACGGGAGCTGAAGGAGAAACCCTTCTATGAGGGTCATTTTTTTTTTTTTTTTTTTTTTTTTTTTTTTTTTTTTTTTTTTTTTTTTATTTTTTTTTAATTTTAATTTTTTTTAAAAATAAATTTAAAAAAATTTTTTTTTTTTTTTTTTTTTTTTTTTTTTTAAATTATATTTTTTTTTTTTTTTTTTTTTTTTTTTTTTTTTTTTTTAAAAATTTTTTTTTTTTTTTTTTTTTTTTATTTTTTTTTTTTTTTTTTTTTTTTTTTTTTTTTTTTTTTTTTTTTTTTTTTTTTTTTTTTTTTTTTTTTTTTTTTTTTTTTTTTTTTTTTTTTTTTTTTTTTTTTATTTTTTTTTTTTTTTTATTTTTTTTTTTTTTTTTTTTTTTTTTTTTTTTTTTTTTTTTTTTTTTTATGCATAAGGCCCAGCTCTCCGATAAAAAAATCCTGCAACTCATTGTTGGAAACTAGCAGAGCCATACTGTGGATTGTCGGTGTTTTTAGGTTTAATATATAGACTATTATATTATAAGGACTACAAAAACAACTTTCCCCTTCAACTGGGTGGCGCAATACCCGCTGATATAAAATTTGGGATAGCTATGAGCGTCGCTTTTTTGAAAGGTTTTTACGCGTCGAATCTATTCTACACTAATGTTAATTTCTCTATGCCTAACTACCTAGTAAATGTAATTTTCCGTAAGTGACCAACCTAACAACGGTCGGCTTTTGAGCCAATCTAGCGATCCTTAAGCTGGGAAGTTTTCTAAAATTCTTTTTTAAACGATGATTCACAACTCTTGTCTGGGATTTAGCTAGCAAGTGTGTCGATTCGCATGTGAACTCTGATTTCGCATCCCCCTTTTCACAATTCAATTATTTGAACCCGGGGGTATGTGCTTCTCTAAAGGTTCGAGCACACAAAGGATGGGCGGGTGTCCTCTAATTTATGACTTGAAATTCGGAAGCAGAGTGATGGAATGAATATACCTGGGAAAGGCGAGAACAGATGAGAGCAGGCAGAGGCCGAGGAGCAGGAGGCAGACGAACGAACGGAGGGGAGCCATCCGGGATGAAGCGCCGATTCTCGGGACAACGACCCTCACCTCGTCTAGAACCCCGCGGGGGGTGGGGCCAAGGCAACGGCCAGGGGGGCAGAACCACCATCCCCATCTCACCACATCTCTCCACATTCACATTACGCCCTAACTTTTTAAGGTGGAACGTATGAGAAAGGTATTAATATGTAGGAGGAGAGACCAAGAAAACAGCCAAGTTCACAGCCATTCGGTAAATGCACTTGATGGAACGCGAAGAAAAAAGTTTTTGATGGTGAGATCTAATCTGAAAAGCCAAATCTGGAAAAACTAGCTGGGCCGAGGTAAAATAGCGGCTATCAGATTAATTAGAATGTATATCACAACTTACTCCATGATCGATTACGGTACTTTTCGAAACCATAGAATTTCGATAAAGCTTATTGGCAAACGAGAGTACTTTTACCCTGTTATTCACCAAAAGTTCAGTCGGCACGTAAACCCATATGATCGGGACGTAGATATCATCTTTAAAATTTTCCGATGGAAACTCTAAACCATCTCGCCACGAAAACAATACAGGAGCGGGTACGTAGCCCGCGCAATGTAAGTAATTAGCCAAAAATACTGAAAAACGCCACGTGTTGCTACCATAAAACACTTCTCACTTGAACTACTCCACTCGTAATGATAAAAATAAGTGTTTAACAATTGTAGCTCTTAAACAGCTCTACAAGCAATATCCAAAACTTCTGCAAGCGCGTTCCGCTTGCGAAACATATAACGCTTTGCTCAGCCGTTCTCCACAGTTATCGTAAATCTGAATATTCCTCAAAGAACACCATTAGCAGGTTTTTTAAACCCGCACTTTTCGAATAGGTGACGAATGACCTTTTCCCCCTCCTTTGCACGAACAATAATTCGGCGCAACCACATTTACCTTTCATCCCAATCCGCGGTCTCGCCGTTGAGCTTTCAAAGCCCGCCTCAAAATCACATTTCAGGCAACCGAAAACCTGACACGGCCTTCAGCAACCGCCAATTTTAGTGCTAAGCGGTTGCTAGCCAAAGGTCGGTTGTCGCGTAACGTCTCGGTTATTTCCGGTCGAGTCGTACTAGGAGGCATTACGAGAAGTGTCATCCTCAGTTTTCCGCTCAACGTCTGGCGTTGACATCTTAATCATGAGACCCAGCAGCCCAGAAAAACCGGTGCCAGGTCCGGTCCTTTGATGTCACATACTAGGAAATGCAATTAGTTTTTAGCCGAAACCGCACGCAAGCCCGTTTTGATTGCCAAGGCCCTTTCGGATTTATGTGTCATCGTAAAACTTTACACAGCCAGGTTTATTCGTCAATAGAAGTATTCCATGGCTAGAAAATTAGTCGTAAATTCTATAAACAAAAAATCTTCTACACAGCAGAAAAAGGCAAAACAAACGATTCTTCGCCCTAGGCGATACTGTCCACGTAAGCTCGGGTCAATTTAGTTTTCGAAACTAATCGTGGATATTGCAGCATAGTCACAACACGAGAGCGCACAAAAAAAAACTAATTTCATATCCTAGAAGGTAAGAAAGAACGGGGGATGCAAAATAATTGGAGGAAATTCGTACATTTTTTTGATTACTTCGGAGTGTCAGGTGGTGGCGCGGGCTTGGCAACCAGGGCAAGCGTCTGGCGTCCCTGGGCGATGATGTGGCCATTGGATTTATCCCTGTAAAAAAAAAGATTTTGTTTTAAACGAAAAATGAAACCGACGAATCAAAGACTATTATAGTACCTGAATTCGGCTTCCACAAAACCAAGGGTTCTTCCGACCCTCAGCACATTCGTCGTAATCTCAACCGTACCGCCAACCGGAATCGATTCGACGCAACTAAAAAACCGGTTTGTGAAAATACTGGACTTCAAAAACGGACCTCATTGACATATCCACCGACAGCACATTTTTACCGGGCACCCAGAGGATGACGTTTATTGCCGTGAAGACGTCGAGCATTGAGGCGATGGCCGAAGTATGCAGATTTTTCTAAAAAAAAGTAAATATGACTCAAACAATACCACCTTATCATCGGCAACCGAATCAGCAACTACCATTTCGAACACGCAGCCTGGCTTTGACACAACTACGGGGACCGCCTGAAAAAAAAGATATTGAACAACTAATTTTTCTAACCGTTTTCAGTGTACGGTTGTAGGTCGGCGACGAAAGCAAACGCGTGAAGAAATCTTGGGCTGTTTTCAGATCCTCGGGGTCGGAAACTCTCGTCGGAATTCGTCTAAAAACAAATATGGTTCGGGGTTCGTTCGTGGAATCCCCTAGGGGCAGAAATTTTAATGTTAGTAAACAATTACCTCGTTTTCGGCAGCGCTGTGGCGATCGGCATGAAAGGGCCGGGGTGGCTGTTGAGTTCGGGCAAAATAGAAATCGACTTTTTCCCTTTCGCAGCAAGTCGCCCATCACTTTTTCTTCTAAAAAAGCTATTAATGTTTTGAAACGCGAGACGCACGTTATTTCCACGTCGACGTAACCAAAAAACGAACGGCAGAAGGGCCTCACCATGATGGTTATCTCGTCGTGGTTGGCTACCGGAAGCATGTATCTGGAACAGGCAATGTAAACCAAAAACAGAAAAAGATTATTTCAATTTCAAAGAACATACGTAGCAGAAATATCCATTCCCCAAGCCACTCGCACGCCCGGAAGAATTTCGGCAATGGCAAACGATGCCAGATTGTCGATCAGCGCCATTGTAGCAGCTCCGTGCAGCGTATTCTAAACAACCAATTGCCGCTTTTATAACCACTCACGTAACCGTTTGACATCTTCTCACTAGTCGTCATCACAAAGTGGAAGACACCATTTTCAATAGACGAAAATCGAACCTAAAACGTCAATGCTAAGCCAAATAAGAGCACTTACATCGCTCAGGTAGCCCGTGAAATTCTCGGGGGAAGTCTTGAAAATGAGCTTCCGTTCGGCGGGCCCATCGTGTTGTGTGCCATTTGTTGCCAAGTCGGAGACTTTGTGGCCATTGCTTGGATTGTCCATGGTACCCTGAAGCCTGATTACAATCATCGCAGCCAAAACGCAAATTCAATCTTTCTAGGGAGAAATGAAAAAAATGGAGAGAAAGAATCTTAGCGGTGCTCTAGCAAATTGGAAGTGAAGATGCTCGTTTTGGTGAGACCTGCACAAACTATAATCGGGAAAAAGGTGACAAAAAGCTGAAACTATAAGCTTGATATATGGCCTGACATTACGCTCCATAAAAAGCCGCCCCCGTTCCGCACGAATACCCTACACGCGCCGGGATTCCGTGGCGTAAGGGGGTTTGAAATAAAGAGAGAAAGCGGCTACCATAAGCCTCTATACGGATGGAAAATAGAGTTCTATAACGAAAATCTTATTCTTGCAGAAACCCGATGGACGACAACTTGTACTTTGTCAATGATCTCGAAGTGTTGCTATTTCTTTGGCGGAATTATGCTCCGAAATTCGACAATCGGACTTATACGAGAGTCGAAGAAAAGGCGGCAATAGAAAGCGTGGAACAGGTGCGTTCAGTCGTTCGTTCAAGCAATGTTTATCTTTAGAAGATCTCCTACCACTCAGCCTGGAGAATAGACGAACATAAATGCAAGGACGAATTATCAGCCTGGATCGAGAATAATGAGGTTCGAGATTTGATCGCCTAGCATTGTTTTACTGTTTTAGAAAGAAGCAACGGCGCCCGTATTCTCAAAGCTCACAATTAACTGTGCCGGCGAACGTGAGCGTGGATGGATTGATGATGCGACTGGGATCAAATTCGATTCAGTTGAGCCTTCAACTGACAAGCTGATGGATAAAAATTATGTATGAAAATCCTTTTCTACGGCTGATTTCTTACAGGCCCAAGAAATTGAACTGATTTCGTTGGTGATAACTACGGCGATCGATCAGCAGGATGTTTGGGGCACCAGCCGGTTGTTAGAACAAATCGCGCCGCTTACGCTACCTAAATTGCGAAGGATGGCTGAAGCCAAGAAGCTAGGTCTTGTCCAGGTGCGTCGGCGTTTTGCTAATTAGTTTAACAAATAATTTTAGACCCTTTTTGCGTATACTATCGATTCGACGCTCGGTGGCAAAGCCAATCTGGATTCAGAAGAAGGATTTTCCGTTAAAGAAATGAGTTTTCTGGTTTCACTGGATCGTGTTGTTGATGAAGTACAGGAGAATGCACACAGTATAACGGATACTAGGTCGGTTCGATTATTTTGACTAACTTGCCTTTAGACAAGCAGCTCATGCGATGCTGAACTCGGCCGCTCAATTTGTGCAAAAACTCGGCGAACCTAAATGCTGCCCGAACAGAGTCAAGTCTGCTGCGAAGATGTTATGTCAACAAGTGAATCAACTGCAAAAAATGCAAACGTATTTTACGGAGGCCGTTGACAACGAATACCAGGTTTGAAAGCAAACTCAACATTATAAACTTATTTTTAGCTGCATTCGCCTCACATTGGGCCGACTTACCGATTGTTGCGCTCATTATTGGATCGCATTATGTGTACTGATGTAATACCAGTCGGAAAGGCGCAGCTGTCTGACGTATTTCGGTAAAAATTTCGATGCTGATGAATTTTTCTTCTCGATCGTCAAGCATAGTTTATTGATTGTAGGACGCCGATGTCTGTCAAGCAACCGACCCAAGCGAACACGCCAGTCACAACAATCGAGAAGCCAAGCGAATGCACTCCCAAGGCGATTCCGAGACTCGGACTATTCTTGAAGTAAATTTTAACATAATGTAATCAATTTTTTTATATTAGTAATTCGACCCCTACTCCAATCCGCCCTGAGATAGTGGAACGCCCCGCGCCGGTGCCGGAATGCGATGACGATGACGAGAATAGCGTGAATTTTCAAACTCCTATCAAGAAAACGGTAATTTCTCATGATCCCTTTAATAGTAAAGTAGTAAACTCTTAGCCAAAAATCTATGAAAATGAGGTAGAAACGTTAGTTTCCGATTTTTTCGAAATTTTCAGCCATTCGATAGAGCATCAAAAATTTACTGGCAGTTCTAATGTTAACCGGTAATAATTGAATATATAAGAATTATAGCAAAACAAGATTATAGCGTTGTCCAGCGTTTCCGTTTCCACCCGTTGACCGCTGGTTTTGGCATTTTTGTTATTTTAACAAACAATGAAAAATTTCTTTCTCAAAAAATTTACATAGTTTTAATTTCATCCGGGAATAGTGGAATATTAAAAAGTACAAAAAGGTTGACGCTGGTGTAGAATTTTGCCCCCGGCCAAATAGAACAGTACCGGAAATGGCGTGATAAAAATTTCTATTCCAGGAGAAGAGGCTTTCCCTGGATCAAACGCCTGAAGGACGGCCGGCGAAGGCAAGAAGAAGAAGCTTAGAAGTTAAACCGAAAAAAGCTCAAGTAAAGACCACTACGGTAAAACCCACTAAGAAGGCGCCGGCGCCCCCGGCAAAGCCATTAAAGACTTTACACAGTTTCTTTGGAAAGCGTGCATAGTTTATTTTATCTGTGATTGTGTATTATCGCGGCGGTTTGAGACTTTTGAGAGTTGAATCAATGAAAAGTTACCGCGGCGATTTAAGACTTTTGAGAGTTGAATAAATGAAAGTTTCAAGAGAGTTACAACCACATTTCGTTCGAGCTTTCAGTAAAATCCGCATCCTCAAGTTTAAACTAGATGGATGCAAATCAGCCTGTTCTCCAAAAAACCGTGTCCGAAACCGTTCAAGTCTATGCAAAAAGAAAGAGAACAACGGCGGCTGAAATTTGGCTATCCCAATGGCGGTCTCCTCTCCGTTTAGTTTTTGCGATTTGGACGACTGGATTCATTCCAAACAGCGCGTTGGCCATACTTGTTCTCCTAACCATGAACAGAAAACTTGTCGTTTCGACAGTCTGTTTGCTATTCTTAAGTAATTGCATTGAAACACAGGTTGAACGTTCGTTTAGTAATTTATTGGCAAGTGCAATTTTAGGTTTTACTGCCTTATGGTGGCTTGCCCATTTTGCAGCTAGAAAACTTGCTATTGCTTTCTTATTATTTGCCCACTTCTCAATCGACTGGTGCGCTTGTTCGGTACTTGAAAAATTTGGAAACAAAAGTGGGTCTTGAACGAGAAATATTTCAAAAAATTTATATGACAGATCAAAACAGCGTCTTGGAAATCGGTAACGTACGTGATACAAGGCGCTGAGGATGCTATCCATCACATAGCCGCTGAAGGAGGATATTTGGACAACCCGGTGAACAAAACGGGAATTCATAATCAAAGGTAATTTTAGAAAAAGCGCAAACACATCAAATTTACTGGTCCGGCAGCGCAAGCTAACCTAACCATCAATGTCGCTGCGCAGGAGACATTAAAAAAGTTTGTTCTGCTTGGACCACGATAACGTAACGTTTTTCCAGGGTAAACCAAATCACCGGTAACGTTATACTGAAAATCGAAGCCGGAAAAAAGCGTGCTGTCTCTGCTCTGCAAGACACTCCCTCCCCATTTGATGTGCACCACAAGATGAATGTAATCATCTATTATTTACAGGTGAGACACCACTAAAATATTAATTTCGATTTCGTCCAGAAGGACGTTGAGAGCTGCGGTTGGGACTTGGTTGCAGTCTTACGAAAATACGCCGGTATCGTGGATGCAGCCGTCAAAAACTTTGAAAAGCCATAAAATTTATACTCTTCTGCACAATACCTGATAATTGAAAGGTGTATATCACAATGACATGGCAAGTTGAGTTTTATCAGAAAGACACAACTAGGAATCGCTAAGAAAGGGCACACAAAAAGGACAATCAAAGATACCCGTGTAAGAGATACTGAAGGATTGGTTAGAAAAAAAAGATAAAATTTACATAGACGTCATGTCGTCTAATTGCGCTAATAATTCTCGGGCGACAATGTTATTGTCGAAATCCGTTTTCCTGATAGTTGTGGGGATTTCGGGGGTTACTGTAGAGCTCGGAGGGGAGTCGGTTCCTTTGTCGGATTCTAGAAAATAACATCATTTTCAATTATATTACGTTGGTTTTACTTGGAATTTACGGCGAGACAAACCTTGATACAGCTGATCCCAATGGTAATTTTCAATCGGAACGTTTTGATTGGTCCACCAATGCTCGAGAACTTCTGATAATCCAGCACGGTTTGATGGATCGGCTGCGAGAAGCCATGACAACAAATGCTTGGCTCCTAAAGGCAAATAGACATTTCGGAAGGATCGTTTTACCGGAAGAGGCTTGTTCCGGGAGTTCGGGAGTTTTATCCATTGATTGGATTCCGGTGAAAAATGGTAGATTCGGGGCACAGAGTCTGTACAACAGCACACCGAGCTGCCACATTTCTGCTGGGACACCGGAGCAGCTGGAAAATGCAATCTCAAATCCTTCATATAGCTGTGAAAACCGGAGTAGCAATTAAAATTTTGAAACCATTTAAATGAATAAAATACCGTACCTATCTCCCCGTATCAATTCTGGACACATGTAAATGTATGTGGTACGCAAGGTCTCTTGCGTCACTAGCGAGTCGGAAGGAAACGCCGATCCAAAATCAATCAGCATACAGCGAAAATTCTGATCCAACACCACGTTCTCGTCTTTCAAATCACCATGGCAAAAGCCCATACTATGCAAATGATTGACTGCTTCAACCACCTAAACAAGATCAATAGTACTACTTAACTATATTTTGTAATTTATTTGAAAGTCAACTAACCTGTCGAAAAATGAAGCACAGCAACATGTCATCAAGTTTTGGATCGGTGCCCAAGAACTCAAATAAATCCGTCGAATCTGGTCGATACTCCATCACCATTTGATAACCAAGCGTCGTTTCATAATATTCAAAAAACTGTGAATTGTTGTCAATGTTATTTCAACCTACTTTTACAATATTTGGATGATGCATCACTTCTAGTAGCCAAATTTCGGTGGGGACCATTTTCCCGTTTTTCTTTGACGATAGAAACTCATGAGGCATTAGCTTTGTATTACAAAGCTCTTTTGTCACTGCCTAAAAAAATATCCCATGATTTCGGAAACAATCTTACCATTTTTCCACTCAAGCGGTGTCGACACCTACGCACGTGAGAGAAGGCGCCGTCAATTATCAGGTCCATTGCCTCATAGTCGCGCTCAAAGGAGCGAGACTCCATCTGGAAATTATTGAAAAGTTGGTAGCTGGGTGCTGATTTTTGGGGTTGGATTGAGGCTGACAAAGGTGAAACCCGGTTGTAATCCATTGTTGACCAGGTCAAAAGCAGTACAAAAGATAAGGGCTCACAGCTGTCTTAACTGGGGAAGCAAAGCGGGGGGCAACGACCAGGCGAGAAAAAGTGAATTCCAAAAAATGACAGCTGAAGTATGAGAGAGGTGACAGGCTTCATGCCACTGACGGGTTGGCTCGGTTAACAAGCGGAAATTTGTCTGGAGCTTCATTAATTGCCAAGAGAAAATAAAATAGCACATTTTTTGCAAGATACAAAAACCAAAAAAAGCGGAATAATAATTCATGATCAGTTCCATGTAAATCAATACTGGAAAGAATTTGGCGACTAATCGGTGTGCGTGATCATAGAGCGTTGATGTGCCCCTTTTGCCCGGTCCCAAGAGTCGTGTCGAAAGGAAAAAGATGAGAACCAGTTCCCCCTCTCACACAGCCTTTCCATCCACCTAATACTCGCCTTTTCCCCCCTCAGACATACCCACCGCGAAACATAACCCCGTGAAGTCCCGAGAACCCATTTCCAGAGAGTAGCATTGTTAAAAGTAAACCGAGATAGGAAAGAGTCAAACCTAAATTCATTTCTTTTATATAGCCTAAATGCAATTTTGTTCGACATTTTTCGTTTGGAAAAATCGTTAATTTTCATTCAAACATCGTTCTATCACCGAAAATTAGCAAGCGTCAAATTCAGGTAAATATTTTTTGTTAAGGGGTTTATATGTGAATTTTTCGGCGGAACAGCTTTTAGACGAAATCACTTTTTGGCGAACTGGCTTTTAGGCGAGATAATTTGTAGACCAAATGGTTTTTAGGTGCACATTAAATGGAAAAAAAAACTTCAAAAAGGGGGAACATGAAATTACAAAAATCCAAATCTATATCTATGCAGACTATTGCAAACGAATCGCACATATCGGGGTTCCACCAAAAAAAAATGAAATGTCTGGTGCCCAATATACGGCTGACAGGTGCAAAATGCCGGCGCCCCCTTTGAAATACATTCCACTGCCCGCATATTGTAGACAAAACACTAAAGCTCTGACCATCATCCCGCGAAGCGCTGTGTAATCCAAGCCCACCACGCACACACGCACACCCAAATAACCCCAGGAAATTTATTCCATGCATCCGCTTGCCGCCGGCACATCACCCGTTCGCAAGTGCAAATAGACAGAACACCCTAAAAGCGCTGGTGATTGGGGTCATCCCCCTTATCGCATTTGCATATCGTAATGGGAATGGTCGCGCCGGCTGGCACCTAGCCAACAAACCTACACGAGAGGTAGAAACGACGAAACTAGACGGTCTGGAAGATGTTCGCGGTGATTTTGTAATTTGGGATCCGGAGAGGGACCTGTTTTTTTCCTGACTCACCTTAATCCGGGCGCAAAAATGGGGACAGGGCTTTGGATAACATGTAGTCTAGAAAAGTTTGGGACCCTTTCAACCGACAAGGTATGAATCATTCGGGTTTTTAGAAATTGACCCTGAAACTAATTTTGGGCTGACTTAGATTGCCGAAAAGACTGAGTGGCCCTGAAAAGACACCCATCCCGGGAAGCTAAGCGAGCTATTTTACTCTGCAAACTATTTTTCTAGCATGGAACCCTTTAGAAGAGTATTATATGTGCTGATGAAATTGTAGATTGGACAGCGAACGGATGAGAGGAATGGTAAGTGTCTACTTTACCCCCGTCGCCACAGCCGAAGGGTCTCAAAGGTTTGGATATTGTCGCTATTTTTAGGGATTTTTTCAACACCATTTGATAGAGCGTCGAAAACTATACCAAGAGTTTTGATTTGAGCCTAAAATAATGTAAAATAAAAATGCTATAGCCAAAACCTTCCGGCTGGGGGGCGGGGGGGGGTAAAGTAGACCGTGGGCGAGGAATTCGTTCCCGCAGAAAAAAACTGTTATCATGGTTCTGAATGTTCTTCAAACGAGGCATGGCATTCGTGCGCCAGCGGCCTATTCATGCCATGATAGACAAAAGTTTATGGAAATGAAACAGCAACTAGCATGGTCTCATGGGGATATGATAACATGACTGACGTCATTACACAGAACTAGCGTATATGTAAAGACATTGAATCTTGGAGCGAGCTAACCATTTTTAATGCAAGAACAAACGCTTGCGCGGCGGGGGATGGCCGAAAGAAAAGCCGTATCGACCCAAATTGGATGTACGAGGCGGATGGGGGGGGGCATAGCTCTCTTCTGTATCTCAAGTGCGGATCGAGAACTGGACTGGAAAGCTGGCCATCACACATTTCGTCACCAGGGCGATGGAATATGTCGGAAACGATAAGTCTAGGTATTTGCACCGAACCCCATTGATACTGTGGTCCAATTTCTTATGCCTGTTTAAAAAGCATTAACTAAACTATTTCCTTTTCCATGGTGCATTTTATCTGTCCTCAAATATATCATTTATTTCCGTCATTAATAATATGCATGTAAGAGAACCGGGCACATCACAACGGAGAGACAAACCGGGAAATTGAGTGAATGGCCTTCAGTATTGGTTGTTTTAAAGGGATAATGTAGATGTTATTAAATTAGTAAATTCTCAAAGCCTTTCGTAAATTCTGAATATTTTCGCATACACATTATTCACATTATCCCTTCAACCATTATTAGTTCGAATACCGGGTTTATGTATCGAAAAGTACCGTATATTTTGGGGGAGGATCGCAGATCACGGACCGTGATTGCACATAAGCATACAAGCTATGGACAGCGAGAGCGGGTTAGGATGTTGGTATTGTGGAATGTGTATAATGAGATCAACGGACGCAGTCGGATCAGTTTTAGATTTGCATTAAAGGAGCCTGAGACGGCGTTCGAATTTGGGGGGGGGGAGAAAGGGATGATAAGATTGTGGTATGGAATTTTTAGGTCGGGCCCCATCTGAGATCGTGGATTTGCTGAGTACATAGGGGATATAAAAATGCTTTAAATTCTTTGACACAAGTCGATATGGCGCCTGGCTGGCTAGGGAAATATAATGGCTGGTGGTAAGTAGGGCATAATGGTAGTGGGGGGAAGTGACTTGGGTTCGATTGTTGAAATGCAACGTCTGCTACTATCTACACCGCCCATCTACTATGCATGGATTTCGTACGTATTCAACGAGGCGTAAGCAGAATCAGCCTGTACTGGGGTCTGTGGACACTGTGTGGTTGCTGGTGCAGGAACTGGGACTGGTGGGGGTCGCACAAGGATCGTATCCATCTGACAACTATCTACGGATCCTGAATCGGCCGTATCAAAGTCCTGCTCCCTCTCCTCCACGATTGGACTTTCCACCTCAAGAACCTGCTCCTCATCCACAACCTCGATCTCTGTAGAACACTAGAAAAAAGAGAGTTTCCCTCAAAAAGTCTTTTTCTACCTGCTCTCCTAGCAGCGCTGCGTCTTCTGATTCATCGACCGCATCAATCGGGACCAATTCAGAATCCATCCCAATGCGTGGGAGCTTCAGGCGTTCTTCGCACGCTTTCTATACGTGGGTTGATGAATGAAGCGATTATCATACCAAAACCGGCTTCCACTGCTCAGCAATAAATTTACAGCAAAGTGCTGCACAAAGGAGTGGTGCATGGCGGGGCAGATTGAATACGGTCTCGATATAAGGCGAATCAGTACGGTAGTGACCCCAAGACGCATGAACCTAAGCGAAAGCAGCCGTTGTTTTAAGTTTTGCAATTACCAATCTCGGATCAGTCGGTTTGATCATGCTCAGTAGTCGATTATCACTTCCGGGTGAAAGTTGATAGTCTGGGGCTTTTTGCCCGTGCACCAGCAGGATCTAAACTTATGGTTCTCACCAAAACTGGGAAAATTACACTATCGACATCCCGTAGTACCATAGCGATCCATTGGAAGATATTTTCCTCAACTTGCATATGCTCCCATTCTTCATAGCGGACTCGAGCTCCGCTATTGGCCAAAGCTCTCGCCAGTTTATCGCACATATACTTCTCAATGTGTGTTTTGTTGCGTGCAATGATCAGGACGGCCTTGATACGCTTCTCTGCAGAAGCCATTAGAGGGTTTTAATAGCCGTGCATACCTTTGAGACTCGGGAACTTAGGCGCCTCTTGAGCCAGGGTCAATTTCAAATGTTCTTCGGTCTTTAAAATTTTGCGGTGATAGAAGATGACGATTGCGATCAGGATCATGAGGGCAGCTACGATGGCGGCAAGCAGGATCTAAACGAATTGAAATTGGAAGAAAGATTAAACTGACAAACCAAAGCAAAAAGCCACAACGAATCGCCGGGGGTTGAATGAGCCACTTGGAGAGGCTCTCGTGGGATTGGGGCCTAAATTTAATATTTTAAATTAATGTTTGAAAAGGACCTTGGCTTTGACTTCCGCTAGCTCGAAGGCTTTGCTTGATGTGGTGACACAGTTGCAATTGCTGCATGGGCAATAACCATCTTTGTTTACCGCCGGGACGACCTACTGAGCGTTTAATAATATTAAGTAAAAATCATTACCTCAACAATAAATGGCATTCCAAATGGTAGATTTTCGAAAAGCTGCCAAATGAACATGTTCGGTTCCTAAAACCATATAATGTAAGCATCTAGGTTGACACCTACGGCTTCTACTCCACGGGTCACAAGAACCTGTCCCGTAGCGTCGCTCTTCAGCCGCACAATGTACGAATTGATGCAAAGCTCTCTGAAACCGTTGCAGCTGTCTTTCGGATTTGGTTGAAAGGCGTTCGTCAGAAATGACACTCCTTTGCCCCGGTCCCCTTAGTTTTTCCCGGGCTACTTCTCGCTGAAATGGAGAACCCCGATATGTCACCATGTTCTTCGTTAGCCATCGCAACATTCTACATCGTGACAACAATATTCTCTGATTTCCACATTGCCTCTACTTTCTCCTTTTTTTCTGGAAGATCCGTCTCTTGTTTCCCACAACTTTTTCACCCCCCGGCCCGCAGAATATGAGCCATTCCGGTGGTGAGGAGGCCTCTCTCTGGGGAGCTGCTGCTCTCATTAGCCCGGACTCCCTACTAATGATTGTCTCCAAAAGCACGCACAATTTTGACCCAGCCCCTCCTCCCCCTTTTTCCCTTTCGTTTCTACTGGTTGACCCGCAATTTTGGGCCCGGTGCTTCCATGCTTTCTTTGCCGGATAGCTAATGGTTGCTCGGGATTCTTGGCACGGAAATTGGGAAAGTGTTTTCTCGAGCCGGAAATTAGGGTTTAGTGAGGCAAGAATAGATTTTTTTGGAAACTTGCTAAAGTTTTGACGTAACAGGATTTGGGCAAAACCTTTGGATATAGGCATCATCACTTACGCTGGCGCCGTTGCAAACGTCACGTTCACCGAGCTCCTGGCTGGATACAATTCAATAGCTTGAAAAGACGTCGACCATAGCGTTGCCATGTCCCTCGGTGTGATTTGGCGAGCTACAGGAAACTCAATAATAAAAACGTGGGTTCTTACATCTCTTGACCCGGTGCTTTTTTAGACTGTATCTCAGATCGCAATCCGTCTTCTCCAACCAGGGCGGAATGATTTTTTCGGTCTTGGCAATCCCGCCACTTCCCGGTGGATAAAAGGAAATCTAAAAAAAAATCAAGTTTCATGGCTGTTTGTTTACCTTGAGATCATAGTTGTTGCCAAATTTGAAGAGACCATTGAGCTTCAAGAAAAAGTCAGCCTGAGCCAAGATTACCATAACTTATTTGGGCAAACCTGTTGCACAGCATTGTTCACCCGGTGGATCGAGCGATTTAGCTTTGCCAAATAGGTATACGTTTTTCTGTTTTCACCAGTCCGCTCAGTAATTGTCACTTGGAAACCTATCACAATATAAAGACCAAAATTTCCAGTCACCTAGCAATTCATGTGGAAGTTGACCAATCGGAACCTTCCATCGTATTTTGCTCTCCAACGCCAATGCCCCAGTCGTTACATTTGGCTGAAAATTTCCTGATTGCCACAGCCACTCAGATATCCTGAGCATTTTTTTTGGCGCGTTAAAATTACGATCCAATTTTCCTAGCGGTATGAAGCCGCGGTTCCGGGGGGTCGGCTGGCTTTTGGGGAGGGTGACCTTCGCGAATGAGATTTATTGACTTCTCGAACCGAAACTCGCCCGCACCGACCAGTCATTTTCCACAACGTGCATTTTTATTGCCACTGTCTTTTGCTGCCACCGCGCCTTGGGGAGGAGAAAATGATGAGAATGGTCTTTTATTGATTGAGTGTCATTGGATGGACAGTGTGTTTGCAGCAGACAGGGGAAATGCTATGGCTGCAAGGACTGCTGGAATTGCTATTTTAAATGATTGGGAACACTCAGAACTTGGCGCAGTCTCAGAGAAATTCTTGAGTTAAACCGATAAACTTCATTTATTAAAAAAATTTCACGCATTCCATTCCAACCTACAATTTTTTTATCGAAAATCTCCATTGCTATCCCTGCACTTCCGGTGCAGCCCTCTTAAACTAAGTGTGTGCCCCGTCTAGCCTCTCCGCCCCCCCACCCTATCAAAAATGTATGTTTTTGCAACCCCGCAAAAAAATCCTTTTAGATATATCCTTGCCATTTTATCTGGTTCCGGGCTCCGGGTGACAACCAGCTACCGGGGGCATGAAGGTGGAGCGATTTCTTATGTCTGAGTCCACACCGAGCAACCCAACTCTCCACTCGCTCACGTTGATTGGAGAGAATGGCCATTATTTTTGTCGAGATCGCCTTGGCCCGCAGTTTCGGTATTGCTCTCTCTTTCATTTCCCTCGCTTTCCGTCTCTCTCTCTCTCTCTCTCTCTCTCTCTCTCTTTCTCTCCGCGAACCAAAATACTGCCCGGCTTGCGTGCGACTATCAATTTGCCGCCTTTTTTGGGGGGCCGCTGGTAATTTTAATAGCTTCGCTGAAAACCCCCGAGAAAAGGTAACGGTAAGATGAAAAATAAAGGGATGGAGATAAAGATTCGGTTAGTTCACGAACGGAATTTGTTGCGCGGATGCAAACAACGATACCCACCTTAATCAAGTCGAAGATGCCAACATCTTCCGGTGCAAAATGGCCCCAGTCAATCGACGGAGAGGTTAACGGAATGTCAGACGAACGTACGAAGCGGCAGCCGATCACCTAGACATTACAATCATGATTCACCCAAATTTTTTTGGAGGGGCAGCCGGGGAGGGCTTTTTACGGGTTATAATGCGAAACCCTTTCCAAAACCCACGTGTGGCTTCGATGAGCATCCAATATCGAGTAATTGAGTGGCAGAGACGGCTGATATCAACCACAGCAGCCTTAGAGGCAATATGGAGTGCATCGGCTGTCGCCGAACGGCAACACCTAGAGTTTTTCAATTAATATTTAAAGTTACTGTCGAATTTTGGATGCAAGTGAGCTTTCAAAAAATGTGCAACCATGGAGGCTATTCAGTACAGCGTGGTGTTTGGCCGGGCCTTAAAAGGGATCTGCAAATAGAGAGCGGGCGGAATGTCCGGGTAGGCATGTCTCGAGTAAATTGCAGCGTCATAAGATGCTAGCTAGTGAGTATGCGGAGGAGGACCCCAATAAGAATTGGGATTTGATTTAAAGGAAGTTTTAGCACAATCTAAAAATTTGGACTTGAAAAACCTTGCAAACTTTCCAGACGTCAAAGGAAATCACCCCCGCGATGACTCTGCCATCGCATACAGGGCCTCAACATTTGTTATCCCCTAAGCCGCGTGCAGGGACAACATGGATAAACCTTCGAAGAATGACCATGGGCGGGCTCAGAATTTTGTCCCCGATAAAAAGCTAAACTGCCTAGCATCTCTTTTTATAAGATCCAACGTGCAAACCCCAAAACACGAAAAATCCTAAAATCCACCCAATGCAATAAACTGTTTGAGACGACCCGATAGGTTCATTTGGGGAGAGATGAGATGAAGAACAACAAGAAGAAGGCAAAGAAAGAAGGCATGAAGAAAGGGGTGGGGCTGTCGGTAAAAGGACGGAATGGCCGAGGGGTGGCTCGGCTGCTGCCCTCGACATGGCCAACCCCCATTCATCGGAAGACATTTTCACCCCGCTGAACCACTAAATTCAGGCCCCACACCGGCCGTGAGATTAATTATTTAATAAACGACCCGAGGAGCAACATCCTACGCTCTAGGATCGACAGAAATTCACTGGGTTTTTGATCATAAACATTGGAACTGAATGTAAAAATTGGCTCTGGTGGATTTTGTGCAGTAGAGGCATTATAATGGAAAAGTATTGTAATTCAACAAGGCGGTCCTCCTAGTCTTAAAATGAATGATCAAAACGCAACCTGCTGACCGTCTTGAAAAAATTTAAAGTCCACTGATAACACCCAAATACCGTGAATAATTTTCTGATGGACAGGTACTAGCGAATGTACTGCAATGCAAACACTTCACAAAGTAGCGTTTGAAAAAAGTTATAAAATAAATATCAGCGATCTAGCGGGAATCAGAGACGTGATCTTACCATGTGAATGGTGGGGGATGCAGTTTTTCACCAGAATCTACTGAGTCGTGAGCCTTCACTTCCGTTTTTCAACAACGCTTTTCCCCCTAACGAAAAAAGGATATAACGGAACTGGGCAAAAAATGTTGAGCCGGATTACGGCCACTCAAAATTTAATCCCGCAACAATACACGCTGAAATCCCAAAATGGCAAATTCTCTGTGGGAAAAAGCACGGCGCCAATGCCGACCTACTTCTTTCTAATTACCTCGAATCCGGCCAATCCGAATTTCGAAGGTGCCCCGGAGTCGCAAAAACGCCAGCGACCACAATTTTTGGTGCTTGCGGGAGGGAGGAGGGGAATAAAGGGCTACTGGCGTCAAGGAGGACTCTGAATTTTTGGCATAAACGTCATGCAAGAAATCGAAATTGCGAAAGTGAAAGGTGCCCGATGATTTTTGGGGTATAAACACGTGGGAATGCCGGGGGAAATGTACGCGACGTAGCTTGACTTCAACGTTTTCCGGAAGAAACTTAAGCAGAAAGTAAACGCTTTGACGCCGCTGCGGCTAATTGAAAGACAAAATGCCCAAATGCCATTGGGAATTCTAATGACCTAAAGAAGCAAATCTAGAAAGAGGAGGAGAGGTGCGGGGCGTTGTGCCCAGAATAATCTTAGCACGCGCGTGTTTAGATTAACGTGAACAGAGCTGAATTTAATGCGGAAGAGCTGGATGCAGACTGAATCATACAACTGTCGTGGATGCATTGCTAAAACAACTGGATTCGTCTTTCCCCATCGTCGCCAATGTATCAGAACCGCAAAGATAAAATCAGTGCCAAAGGTTTTCGCTAAGTTTTGAGAATGCTTATGGTGGTGGTAAGCTGTAGTAGGGAAAATGGATTGTAATTGTGGCCATTTGGGGGCGCATAACCCGGTGGCCAGATTGAGAAGTTTATGGTGAAAGGCAGCCAGCATCTAGGAGACGCGGGTAGGGCTCTCATTTTTTTTGCAACGACTCCCACGGTAGTTGTCCTCCAAAATGTGAAGTGGGTCAGTAGGATTTCCGGATGAATGGCAAAGAATGACAGGCGATTCATGTGATAATGCAATTGTTGTGATTGGATTAGGATTGAAATTTGTACTGTGTCAGGTTTTCGCCGCGCTAAAACACAAAATTGCACGTGTAATTAACATTGCGCGGTGAGGTCCCAACGGAACAAAACAAGGCATGTGAAAGGTATATTAGTCAGTTACGAGGGGGCGATAATGAAGGTAGGTACGTATGGTCAAAAAGTAAATTGAGCGGGCCGTAGGGATAGTTCAAGGTCGAGTGAAATCGTGGCGAAACAAATAGACACCTCCAATGCCCCGGCAATCCCCGGACCATTGCCCCGTATGGTCCGTCTAAAAACTGACAAAGAGGTCCGCGTTTTTTGGCGGGCTCTCCTGAGAGACTCGCCATTGCACCCCCCGTTTCCCAAGCCCTGCCCTGGGTCGTGTCCGAAAAGCCCCAATTTGCCAAAAATTTCGGCGGCCGCCTAAAGCGCAGCCATGACCCCTGACATGAGACTAAAGAGAAAACAGCTTTTCCGTTGCCGATTGGGGCCATCGATTGAAAAACTGTGAAGAGGCAGGCAGAGGCAGACCCACTATCAGAGCCCCATCGAGGCTCCAACTCCCAGCTGAACACCCGGCGCAAAAAGGGCAGGGCGGTGTGGTTGGGGCTGTGGAGGGGTAAGGCAGGAATGACAAGTAGCACCCCTTTCGTTGCACGCCAAGCAACACGCTACACTATCACAAATCAACAGGTGTTGCCGGAGCAAGTGACCAGCCGATCAACGATTGGGTTTGGGTTGCGATTGACCGTGATCTTGCAGATTTGCACTTTTGTGTTTATTGCAAAGAAGGTCAGCTACTATTTTTAGCTAGTTAAGAGGGAATATCAGCCAAACTGTTTCGTGACTAGGCATGTCTTAGAAGTACTGATGCCTAGCTTTTGTTACCGTTTTCCGATATAGGACCTCTGTATTTGAAAATATAAATTCTCTAGGTCTTCAAAATAATTTAATTAATAATTCAAAATGTCAAGTTTATATAACCGGAAGCCCGTCCTATGAGCACAAGAGGGAGCCCCCCCCCCCACTCGAACCGAGATAAACCATATCAGCCTAAAGTTTTATGACTACAACGCAGAACGGAAATCGAAACGCATCTCAAAACGTTTATTGATAAGGATAAAAATAATATAAAAATTATACTCTGAAACATCAAGAAATGATGCGGTCCCGATAGCCCTACCTAGGATTTATTGATGTTCTGCAGACCCGGTTTTGTCTATCATTTATTACCACGTTTGACCCGAACCCAATGTTTTTAAGGAAAAACCTACAGGCGACCATTTCTGCAGGCCAAATATTCGAACTGTTTGGAACTAACTTTCGGGGGACAAAAATTTCGGCGTGCCGCCCTGGGAAAAAATTATCCAAAAATATGATTGATTTTGGGTTGTGAATGGCATCTTCACTCGATGCATTCACTTCGGATGATCACCAATACCCAACCCAGAATCGGTTACGATCGGATGCAGAGAAAAGGGAAGAAAAGAAGAAGTGAAGTTGCGTCGTAACCACTCATAACCTAACGAGCCACGCCACCCCCCATCGGCTGATGACCTTGAATTTGGAAAAAGGACGGCGGGATAGAGAGAGACTGTTTTGGAAGGGGAGGAATGGGAAAAAGAGAAGTTTTGTCTCAACGTGATCACCCTCCCCGGGACGCCATCGATAAAACAGCTCACCCCCTCATTCCATTTTGCGTTCTCGCTCCCGAAAAATACGGTACAATGTTTATAGAAAAAATTTGTCCTGGTCGCCCTTTCGAATCCGGCCCCTAGGGAGGGACAAACGAACTTTCCAAACATATCCGAACCAATAAACAGTGTTCCCTGAAAGTGTAATGCTATGATGTGGATATATATTAGGTATATTGAATCAAGGGCACATGAAATATATTTTATTTTCCGACTATCATGCGGATGAGCCATTTAAACCGGAGAAAGTTGGTTGTTGCGGTCGTCAAATCATCAAATACAATCCTTTTCCAAACCGGCTTTCTCCGCTTTCGTAAACCAATAGAGATCACAATGCATTTGGTATAGTCATACCCCAATAGGAGAAAAATAAATTAATGGCCGAAAGGTGGAGGGGAAGAGGAGAAACAGGGGAGCACGAGTGGAATCGAACAAAAAGTACTTGGATACCGCCTCGCGCTCCTCTACCTATACCCTCGCCAACTAACTTTCAGCCCATGTGGGCCGCCGTCCAAATTTTATCCGGGGGTTTAAAATTTTTGATGAACAAATAACTCTAAAATGTCGTTGAGCGAAAAGCGAGCAAGCTTAGGCTGATATCTGCGCCTTCTGGCAGTATTCATGGGCAGCATCGGTTTATTTTTATAAATAATATGCAAACAAAAACTGAAAAGAACCTAGGAAGGGGTGCAAACCAAGAAATAAATCTCTAAAGGGAATGGGAACGGCTTCTTTAGCCACAACGTTTATATATATATTACTAGCTTGACCAACATTCGAAAACCCGTAGCACTCACAACTTTGGTGTTTGAAAAAGGATGAGAGGCGAATTGTTAGGAGGGTCCTATAATGATGGGCCCTAAGAAAATCGACCAAAGAATGTGGCTAGAGATAATTCTCGTAGGATATGTTGCTGTATTCCTGCCGTCGATTGTAGCTCGGACAACAGCACACGAGGCATGGCCGCCACTGAAAAAATCTCGCATTCATGAGACGCCCATTTGACGAGGGTTTTTTTGGTGAATTTGGTCAATGGCCAAGTAAATACCGTTCGGATTGCAAAGGAATTTTGAACGCACCTGCAAGACAGCTTTCCGAAATGCCCCGTTGATAAACATATAAATTAAAAATTTCGATGACGGTCCGGCGATGGCAAGCCAGACGAAGATGAATGACGCCTAAACCGGGTGAGAATTGTGGCAATCCGTTTGAGGGACGCACCATATTCACATCCATATAGGATTCAATCTGGCCGAAATGCCCGGCAACCTTTAACCCTAGGAGGGGCATCCAGGATAGGGCAAAGGCGATTAGGAGGAACATGGTCAGGACAAAGTTTGGATCTGTCTCGATCACTGTTCGTTGGTTGTCTTCTAACTGAAATGAAACAATTAAATAAGTGGAACGATCAATTGATCTTAATTAACGAAATAGGTCTAGCGTATAGATGTTACGCATACATACCCACAGCGGCGGGATAACAAGTTAATCAGGATGATCGGTGGAATTGATTGCAAGTTCTTCCCGAATACCAATCACAAAAAATGAAAAGCGCGCTCTCTCACTTTTTATAAGCTACCTACACTCCTGGCTTAGGCTAATTGCTTACTAACAAAGAAGGTTACCGAAATTTTTACAATACCCAATTTTATAGAAAATGGAACGATTTTGCTGATATGTTTATATAATCTGGAATCTTACACCTACTGCCTTTTTTCCTACCCAAAAAGTCTTCCCTGGGGCTCAGATGTAGAACAACCTCAAGGAAGTGTGTATGCAAACGCACACATTTAGACAATTTTCTATGGGTAGGATTATCCTGCCATTCCGCCACGCCATCAATAGGCGTAAAATCTCTAGTCGAGCCTGCTAATTCACCTTAAAATCTTATCTTATCTTATCTTATCTTATCTTATCTAAAATAAAATCTTTCAATTTCAAGTCAACCTACCAAGTGTGGATGTCGCATGGCACTGATTATCTTCCACCCGGAGCTGAATATCGTGAGCAGGGCCGGACCGAACACTAGCACGGCTAGCGTCCCTGAGTAGGCTGATGTTGCCGACCAATTGAGGACGCATAATTGAGCCTCTTCCCAGAAGACCACCTAAAATATAAAAGATTTGACAAGCCAGACTGGTCTGTCACTTGCGTACCCTCGTGCCTTAGTGCGAATTTTTTTATTTAAAAAATACCTTATTTTCGGATAAGGATTAATTCAATTTATATTGGTTTTACTTACTTCCATTTGAGCAACGACGATAGGGCAGCATAGAAGAAGTGAAGTGAGCCATGAAAAGACAATCCAACATTTGCATCTTGTCAGCGATTGGTCGGCGTACCGTGATGGTCTCGTCATTGCCGAATACCTGAAACCCTTGATGGAGGTTGTGAAGGCGTTAGTTACCGATCTATGCAGATCCAGGCGAGCGTGTAGACTGTCGAGCAGAAAAGGGCGATTTGTAGATATGCGGAGCATTTGCATAGGAGAGAGTTTGACCCGAAGAATTTCCACTAAAACGGTAGGAATAGTTAGTTCAATTTGTTTAATTTTGGCGGTGGTGAAGGTTTATCGATTTCAAGGCGGTTAATGCTATGGAGCGATATGTTTTTATTGAGCAGGTCCCGGAACGCAAGCGTTATTCTGGTTATTTTTTATATTGCTGCTATTGCTATTTAACTTTGCTCGTTAAACGACTTTATCGACATCCCAGCGCACTAATGGGAGTCGGAGTTGCGCATTTCGGCTAAGCGAGCCCTGCTAATATTTTTTCGGCATTGGTCAATCGTGTCAATCGCTTTGCATTGTATAGCTTGATTTTGAGGCGCCCTTGCGTCTTCCTAGCAAAACTTGCATTGACGTCCAGTGAGGAGTAGATCGAAAGAGGTACTAGGAAGATGGCGCACAGCATGTCGGCAATCGACAGCGATATCTGAAACCACTTTATCATTCCACTTCCACCAATGTTCTTCTCCAATCACTGCCCCCCCTGCTTTGCCGGCTTGGTCCCAAAGCGAGCCCCCGGTGGCCCATTTTACGCTACGACTCATTACTCCGAACTAGTTGGTAGGGGGCAAAGAGGGAGGGCCCCCTGGTTGGGGGTTGTGGGCCCCGAAAGGGGGGCGCGGGAGGCCCGGCTAGATTCCCGAGGGATTTGCAAGCACAATTAGGGGAGGCGACGGATTTGTTCGGTGACGGCACAAGCCAGAAATTGGAGCTTACTGCTCGCGGCGGCGCTGCCCCCTTCCCTTCCCATCCTGGGGGGCCCACCGGGGGAGACGAAGGGGGGGGGCATTGGGCCTCGCACAGGGCTGAGAGTAAACAGCAATTTTAGACTAATTTCTCAGGGGAGGACGAGGAGACCCTTCCCGGCCTCATGCATTCGAGAGCAGCGTGTGGGTATAAGAGGGTTGCAATGGGGGAGGCAAGGGGGGAATTCACGGCTCCTGTTTTATGGGCCAGGCGGTTTTTTGTTGCGTAAAATGGAAAAAGAGCTTAATGGATGGAGCTGTGGGGTGGGCAAGGTCTTGTTACGTTTTAGGAAATGCCTAACAACCGATTAGGTTCGACTGACTACTAGAAAAAGCAAATCACCAAAAAACCCAGTCTTTTTCCGCCATTACTACCCTGGTTTTCAAATAACATAAAAGTCCAGTTCAAGCGATTTTTGTTGCGTTTGGAAAAAGAAGCGTCATAATTGGATTTGTGGGGTGGGCTCGGTCTTTTAAATTTTAGCAAAAGCATATCGGAACCATTTTTAGAAAAACAAGATGGTCACCGTTTTTCGCTGCGTTCCTACCCTCAGTTTTCAAATAGCATCGAAGCCCAGGTCACCGGTGTGCTACAAATCATCGCCCGAGGATGCGAGACCACCTTCCCGAAGCCCCACTCACTCATCGTGACGTTTCCGTTGTCTTCCGATTTACGACCCGCTCCCCCAAAAAACCAAGGAAACAAAGCGTTCCCCTTTTTCACAAAACAAATGCCCACCCTTACATGGTAACCAAAATGCCCTGTTTTTGCGAGGTACCCCTTGACACCCCTTCTCGTTCAGCTTTGGAATTCGGTGGTGCTGGCTGTGCCCTGGGAGGCACATGTGAGCCCGTAACCCAGAAGCTTGGACTAGAAGGCATCGACGAAAAAGGGGCGCTTTCCGGTGGCTAATCATGCATATGTGGGCCCTGGTGGGCCCTGGGCCGTATTGGGCAGGCTGTGGCCCAAATGGGGCTCTCGCACAGCCTTCACCCTCAGCTGCCACAGCCAACCCCGGTGTGGGGCATGGCTTGGATACGCGACGTCAGTATGGTTGGGCCCAAAAAGTGAGGAACTTCGAAACAAAGGCTTGAAAAGCTGAGGTGCATAGTAAATTCAGCGTTTTTGGCTACAGTACCAGATAAATGTCCTATTATTGTTCCAAAAACAGTTGTTTTTCTTTGGGTGGATCAATGAAAAAGTAGACGGTAAAAGACAGGTGTTTTTCTAATGCTGGACATTGCTTGAAGCCAGATCGCTAAAAATATCTTTAACATTGCCCTGGCTTTTTCCTCAAGATTATAAATCAGTTCGCGAATGGCTACTTGAATTTGTGGTGACGTACCTAGGTTCTAAGGCACTGTGCTTTTTACAAGGAGTTCAAAATTCACAGACGAACCCTAAACCTCGACCCTTCCCACCCCCTTTACCCAGTTTTCAAACAGGCCGCCCCCTGAAGCTCGGCATCCTTTATGAATTGATTGTTGCAAGAAGAGCCTCAACCCTCCTTTTCCCCCTACTTCTTCCTCCACCCAGAAGGCATTGCGGTCCAGGATTCCGCCCCTAGGGACGATTGACGCTACCCAGCCGCCATCCCATCCTCCTGTTTGTTTCAAAACCCATGCCCCAAACCCGCAAACCAACCCTCCAACCAAAATGGGTGTTCCCATCACACGTCACCGCGATAGCCGTCAATCCCCACCTAGTTTCTTCAATCCTTCCCAGCCCTTTCAAATCCAGAAATACATAGGTACGGATGAACGAGCAGCCGGCCCGTCGCCGACGCCCCGCAAAACCCCAATTATTTTTTGACGAAAATCTCCTCATTGCATGCAGCGAATGGGCCATGCAAAGAGCCCTCTACCCCACACCAACCCCCTACGTTTTTCGGCTAGGTTTTAGTCAGCCAAGGAGACGCACCAGCCGGGGCAGCCCAAGAAATTAGGCAATATGCAAATTGGAGTGCCGGCATGTCATGCGACCACAAGCCCCCGATGGCTGGCGGACCCTTGGTGGGCGCAATTTCCAAGAAATGCCATGTCGACTGGGACGGAAAACACAATACATTTTATTGGTGCTGTCGGACACCTAGGGTTCCTTCCAGCGATCCCCATCCCCCGAGCATTGGCGGGACGCGGACAAAATTGGCTTCCGATTACAAGAGAGCAGAAATATTGTGTTTCCGGGAGACTCATGCAATATTCATCGGCATCCACGGAAAGATGTTGCAATTTTGCTTTAGTCGCCGGTTGGATGCGGTCGGTTGTGGAGGGGATGAGAAGAGAGCCGGAGGGTAGGGGGGAAGGTTTTGAAGGATGGACGGGGAGGATATTGCCTTTTTTGTCAGCCTGGCTTCTGATGGGTTTTGAAAAGCGGTTGTCAAGGGGGTGGCAGGGTTTTTTGTGGTATAGGTAGGCGATGAAATCAGGGTTTTGGATGGGGTCAAATGAGACTCTGACTGGGCTGAAATCCGATATAAGTTGCTTCCGACTAATGAGCAATAAGATACCAAGCAAATTAAAGGAGCAAGCTGCAAAAATCAGGCTACCCAAAGACTAGAAAAATAGTTGTAAGCAGGACTGACATAATGGGAACCACATTTCCCTTTACAACCTCCTCAAATTAGAGCCTTTTTCTAAACTTGTTTACGCGCATCTATCTCCCGGATTCTACCGCCCAGTGGTTTACCCAACAGCCAGATTTTAATTAAGATCCCCGCCACTACTGGACTGGTGTGGCGCAGCTCGACCAGAATGAATGGGGGAAAAGCCGAGCCGGGGAGTAGTGGTTGTGGTGTAGGGAAGGGAGTGGGGCTAGGTGCAAACTAGCCGCATAACTAACCAGTAAGCGCTTCGCCGGCCTCAAAACACGTACCCAGTTATTCTGGGGGTGGAGACCCGCCAGTGGCACACATTGTACCTGTTTTGCGGGCCCTCATGAACATGTTATGAGCCGGGAATGGCTAATCAGGGCCCCCAGGCCCGGGATGTCAGGTTTTAGAAAGCGGGCCCACTGCCAACCCAGGTGACCGCTAGTTAAATATTTAAAAAGCTTCCTTTTTTAAATAGGGATCGTTGGTTCAAAAATGAGGGGTGGGCGGGTCAAAATGACATAATAACATGGTAAAAAATATGGTTAAAGGGACAAGACTTACCAAATAGCAGCCGATCACATCGTACAGGTCCGGAGTTGTGCAGATGACGCATATGGAGAGAAATGAGGTGCCAAGCAGGAGCACCTGGAATTTTGGAAATTTATTTTGGATTCTAGAAAGTTTGGGATGGCTTGTCAGTTTTAAATCATCTGAAAGCCTGTGACCTATTCTCCGGATAGTATTAAATGCTATTTATCAGAAATACGTCACAAAAACGTGAATTTTTAGGTATTCCCCTTCCCTTTTCGTATTCCGAAACAACGGGCGTTCCCGAGGCTAATCCCCTTGTGTTGCCAGACAAAGGATTAGTTCCGGAGGTATTTTCTTGCAACGCTGCTCCCCCAAAACCCCTCCAAAAAAATTAAGAAAATACAATAGAAAAACGAGCAACAGCTTGGAATAGGAATACAGTACCTCGACGCCGACAATAAGCGCTGTCCTCGCGAGAGCCTCGGCGGACAGTTGCGCTCCAAGGGGTAGCAGCATCGACACGACGGCACCTGTCCGGCGCCGTCGACTGGTTCGGGGCCCAGGCCGCGAGCCGAAGCACGACGGAGCCACACCACACAGCCACAGCCACCAGCACCCAGCCCACAGACCCCAGAGGACCCAGCCCGGGCCCACAGCCCACACCGAGAGCCCCTCCCACCAACCGGATCCCTCCGCCTCCTTCTTCTGCTTCTCCCGCACCTCATCTCCCCTTACTCTTCCCTTCTTCTCCTTCTCCCCTTCTCTCCCTCCCTCCCTCTCCCCAACCTCCCGGCAGATCGATACGTGTCACCGACGAAGCACCGACACCACCGCCAACGATAGCCTCTTCTTCTAAGAGGCTGTCTCCCTCTTCACGTCTTCTATTTCTTCTCCCACCCCGCCCCTTCTCTTCTTCTCCAGCTCACACCGCCAAATGTCCCATCACCCACCCCGCCCCAGTGGTCACTCTGCGCTGACCACGCTCAATGGCTTCCGCCTCGCCCGTGGATTTGGGCAATTTGCCATAGGGGGGTACACTTTGTGCGCCTTTGGGATGGACCTAATTTATAGGGGCAGTGAGTTGGGGAATCCCCTTGGTCTGGAATAAAATAGACAAACAAAAAACAAGTCTGGCTTCCGGGGTTGTTGTTCAGGTCAGTAATTATCTAAAAAAATGGAAAAATCGTGAAGCCACATCATACTACAAGAAGGGATCGTTTTCTCACCGTCAAAATCTGAAGGCATGCCGAATTAGCACGAACCTACGTGTCGTACCTTGCCAGGCTGTTACCGTAGTTGCAAGGCGACGCTTAATGGAATTTCTATTATATATTGCGATACTTGATTTTTATAACGAGGGCTTGTTAGGACCCAGAAAGTACATCCCGTTCTCCAAGAGATGCATTTCGGTTAATTGGATTTGCGGTAGGCTTTCAGACGAATTATGTGCCTCGTCGGTCACTGAGAAAGGACCAAGACCCACAATTTTTGTTTAGGCGGGTCTTAAATTTACCCTGTGCGCTTCAAAGAGTAGGATTAAAGACGCAGTGGTCTGAATAGGCGCTTTCTCCACTTACTCTTCGCCAAAACATTGAAATGCAGCCCAGGTGATGTCTGGCTCGACTAGACATGTCCTTTAAATCTGCAGACGAAAAGGGATAATCCCATAATCCCCCGTCTTCGGTTCGTTGATTTTCAACAATAATGTCTGCACACTTTGCTCTGTGATGCAAGTTATCAACATCGAATGCCTAAGCTTTTCCAAGCCGATCTGATAATATCCCATGCGGCATCGCCCGAAACCTCACACTCTCCTTCGCGCGCCACTTTCAAGCGCAAAAAAGGCGGAGGGCCCGGGACTCTTTGGTGGGCCACCAAATCCCCTATATTCGTTAATTGGCTGGCTCGAGAACAGGCGGGGAGGAGAAGCCAGAGACGAAGAGGTGGAAGTGGGGGGCTGAGGTGGGGCCGTCGACGGAGAAGATGGGGAGGAAGAAGAAGCATCTCCTTGCTTCTTCACCGCCATGAGGGCCACGTCATTTGCTGCTAGAGGCCACACATACACTCACCGATGCTTTGGTCTTCCACGTGAGCCGGCGAGATCGCCTAGGAACTAGTCATGTGTATTCCTTGGCGGGGCCCTATGGCCTTGCGGCCCAACCCGGAGCCGCTCTTTATCCCTTCCGCGGCATCAAGGACATTCCAAAAATAGATGAAAGTCGGCCAGGGACGGAGGGTAAGGAAAGGAGAGCCCCGGAAACAAGGGGTCTTTGTGCTTCCGGCCCGGCTGCACCAACCCGGATAAATGCAAGCACCCCATGTGCTGAGGTTGCATGCAAAAATCAAGCGCTTCAAAAGTCGGAAACTTGAAGGTAAGGTTCGTTTCATTTGCGATACAAAAATTTTTAATATTTTTATTCGTTATGTATATAATAATCAAGAGAGCTTCATCCGTCTCAACCCGCCCGGCTCAAACCCGCGCAGCAATTCCTGCGTCCGGCGGTTCATCTCCTGAATCCACTCTCCGCTGACGATCAGCTGCCTCGTCTCGCCATCTTTCGTCTTGATCGTCCACCGGATCTCCAATTCTGGTTCCTCTTTGTCCTGGAAATTAGCGATTGCATGTGGGTGGGTGGGTTCCTGGGTTTGGCACGTGCAGCTCGAAGTGCATTCAAAATGGGTGGTTTGGGAAGCTAATTTCAAATTGTATTTGGTTTCATGTACTTTGTGTCTGGACCCAGTGGTAGGGCATAAAAAGCGGTGAAAGACCCACGAAATTGTAGTTGTATAGCGGATTTTCAGCGTGAAAGGCTTTTTTGGAATTTCGTTGGTTGAGGTCTACAGTATCCTCTGTGACTAGCGCGAAAGTTCGAATCTGGACCCACAGAGTCTAATTTGCTAAGGCCTTTAAAATGTTCCTATTGGTTGCAAGTTGTGGTATGCATGTGTATGTGTATGGGGGTGACAGGAGAGACAATTATCCCTAGGAGACCCCCTGCCTGGCCGGGACAATTCGGTTTGCCCCTCGGGGCCGATTCATGAACCCGACAGGGACCCCCGGTGCAAAACGGATTATGGCTTCTCCCCCCTTGCTCGGCTTTTCCAAAAGGCTCCCTATTTCTCGCCCTTCCTTCCCTTACCCCCTCCAATCCAATTCCCACCATACCTCCATTTCAAATGTAAATTCCGAGCCGCGCATCTCCTTCCAGATGTGTTTGCCAATAATGCTGCGGTGGTAGTCGAGGAATACAGGATTGGTACTCATGTAGGAGAAGCCTTCAACGAAAAATGTCATGTAGGGTTGAGCCTCGGGAAGTACTTCCTAAAAAAACAGGCATATCCGGTAACTAGTGAGCTTCCAATTACGCCATGTTAATTAAGTAGAAACACCTACACAAAATGATGTTACCGACATGCCAAATTCAAACCATTTTAAGTAATAGCTACAAAACCTACCTCAATTTGAAAAGCATCTCTACCGCTAATACTCCGGAATAATATCGATATCAAAGTGCATACAAAGTTCTCCTGAGCGGCACGATCACCGCGAAGCTTTACTAAATACAACTATTTCAATAAATACCATCATCCATACCATTTTCATTAGCTAACAATCGATCCAGCTTCTGTTCGGTTGTAAATTCTTTGGCAAATACCCGAAAGAAACGGCGAAACTCCTCTAAACCCCTGTATTTTTGATCCGTGAATTTATACGCAAACCTGGCGTGGAGAACTCTGAGAACAGCTTCACAATTTCGTCTCGGCGAGCTTCGTGTCCCATTTGGGGTGCTAAATTTTTGAGGTAATGGTCCTGGTTTATAAGGGCAAAATATTGGGCCGGCCCCTACGGGGGCTCCTATCGACGGCGGGACTCGGATAGATGCGAATAAACAGCCGAGAATAACGTGTGGTAATACTCTCAAAATGACCCCATTCTTTATTATACATTTGAGCAATGAAGGTGTGACAGCATGGAAATACAGTGGTGCAATCAATTGGAAAGGAAAATGACGGTAAAACAAGGCTACTAGTGTGAAAAATATGCAGTGTGTAATACACAACAGTGACATGGATGGGAATGGTTTTTTGCTGGAATAACGCATGAATTGGAAGCTATTTAAGTGTTAAAAAGAAATTGGGTACTGTAATACAAAGCACAACTTAGAAAAGCCCATCGATCTGTTCGGTGACTGGGTCAATGGTGATGTCAAAGAAACAGGGACGAGTGGATAGACCAGGCATTGTCATCATCTCTCCAACCAACGGATAGATAAAGCCGGCGCCAACCGAAGCACGAACGTCACGGATTGGTAGCACAAATCCTGAATTTATTTGGTAATCCTACTATATATAAAAAAATAGTGTCTGTGTTGTGTGTGTGCCACTTTGCAACAACACTCCGTGGGTGTCCGGAGGACGAGAGGGAAAGGGTTTTAAGCAACGTATGGTAGGTCATAGGCGCGGAGGCGACGCACACACATCAGATTTTGCAAATTATGCTATTTTCGACGTTAAAATTAGTTTTTGTTAGAAAATGGAGCACCCCTTTGTGGAATCAATTAGCATATGCCGGAAATGGCGCAGTCTATTAATGGGCGGAGGGGGAATTTTCTTTTTTTGTCATCGGAATTCGCGAGTTATGTAAATGAAGCATATTATGACGCTAGACGGGGGCCAGGGTTGAAAAGGCGCGAAGCGGCTTTTCAACCCTGGTTAAAGTCTAATTCGCTACTTTTAATAATTCGAACTTTTATAGTTTAACAATCTTACCAGTTGGTGCTCCCTTCTTGCTGGGATCATGAGTAAACGAATACTGTGTCTTGGCCATGCAAATCGGCAGCTTATCAAATCCTTGCTTAGTGTAGCGCTCAAGTTTCTGAAATTCTTTAATTAAAACCGGATCTTTTGTTTTTACATGCAGCTTAATATATTTTCTGCATCCAATGATTTAGAACATTACGCGAGGATTTATATGGGACCGGGAAATGAATGCCCGGAAGAGATGGACACCCGGAAATTGGGCGGAAATCAATCATTTACCTCTTTAGCCTCGGGGCTCAGCTCGATGCCGTCAGCGCCATAGATCTCGCGGGCAATGGTTGCGATCTTTTCTTCGAGTGGAAGGTCAAGAGGGTAGAGGAATCTAGATGCAAAATCAAAGAATGTTGATGTCAATTTACTTAAAATCGCTCTTGAACTCGGTAGCGTCGAGAACAGCCTTGGCCAGATCGAGGGCTCCGGCTCCTCCCTTGGCCCAATGCTCGGAAACAACCGCGTTGTGAGCGCCATGTTTCTTGGCCTGAATTAATTTGTTACGTACTCATTAATTAGGGTTAATCTATTAAAAATTCTGTGTTCTGGTTTGTTTACCTTTTCCACAACGAGTTGCAACTCTTTCTCGGTATCAGTTGAGAACCGGTTGACACAGACAACAACCGGGACGCCAAATTTACGCGCGTTTTCAATCTAAAAATAGATTGAAAAATTTCCTTTAATCTTAAATATAACTTCAAGGTCTAGAAAACATTTCACATACTTGCTTCCTCAAATTACTATCACAGCCAGCCGACACGAGCTCAATGTTCTCATCAAGGTACTCATGCTTCAACGGGGCTCCTATAAACGCGAAAAGAGCAAATACCCTCCGGTTCTCTGTTTCTCACCTGCGACGACAGCCGGGCCACCGCCATGCATTTTCAGCGCCCTAACGGTCGCCACCAGGACAACGGCACTTGGCTGGAGGCCAGAATATCTGAAAAACCGGACCTCAAATCATTTCTCGGGATGGAGGTCTCACCTGCACTTGATATTAAAGAATTTTTCCATTCCAATATCAGCACCAAAACCGGCCTCAGTTACCACGTAGCCATTTTCACCGACGAGTTTCAGGGCCACCTAAAATCACTGATGTTTTATAGCGTTCCTAGTCGTTTTCATCAATTTTTAGTAATTAGAAATTGAGGCAAGAAAAATTGTAAAATAAACTATTTTGCCAACCTTATCAGCAAGAATACTGCTTTGACCATGAGCGATATTGGCGAATGGGCCGGCATGGACGAAGACAGGAGTGCCTTCAAGAGTTTGCATCAAATTGGGGCGGACGGTATCCCTCATAAGAACCTGAGAAAACGCAAATTAAGGCGTAAGTTACGTCGTAGATACCGTCAAAGCATCAGTGACACCAAGATCATCAGCAGTCACCGGCTCTCCTTCTTTACTCGAAGCGACGACAATTTTTGAGATTCTGTCTCTCATGTCAGCGAGCGAATTAGTGAGCGCCAAGATGGCCATAATCTGAAAGTGCAGTATACCATACGATACTTTCTATGACAAAATGGGATTAGGTATAAAATGTTTACCTCACTAGCCACCGCAATATCGAACTGGGTATGTCTTGTGTGTCCTTTCTCTTGAGGTCCTTCTCCAATGTCGATCCCGCGGAGAAATCTATAAAAAAGTCGGCATCATCAAAACTACGGTACCGATCATTAGTATCCATGACACGATTCCAAGTGATAGTCTTTGGGTCGATGTTCAAACGAGCCCATTTGACGCGTTGCTCGGGGGTCAGCTGATTTCCATCATCGACAGCTGGGAAGCCAAGCCGTGAAAGACGACGTTTCTGGACTGCCGACATTGTACGCACTCCTGAATTGTTTTTAGAGCTAGTGCTTTATGATCATTATTAGTCACCTTTGAAACGCAGAATTAAAATGGCATCAATGCGCAGAACCAACTTACCTTGCTTATTCTGTGGGCACAAGCGATTGAATAACGGCTCGTCTTGCTGGGTATTTTCGTGGAACATCCTTGCATCAATGGCGGCAGCCAGCAAATTATTGGCGGCCGTGATAGCATGGATATCACCAGTCAAATGAAGGTTGAATTCCTCCATCGGAATGCACTACAAAATATAAAATACCCTTCTGAGCAACTCGAATTACCTGAGCATATCCACCACCAGCAGCTCCACCCTTAATTCCAAAAGTGGGTCCTTGCGAAGGCTGACGAACACAGGCGAATACATTCTTGTGCAAATGAGCTCCAATGGCCTGGCTGAGACCCATTGTCGTCGTAGATTTGCCTTCACCAAGAGGTGTTGGGGTGATTCCTAAACGAGCTTGAATTGTGCAGGTTTAAGTCTTACCCGCGACAACGATGTATTTTCCATTCTTGACGTGTTCGAGGCGCTTGAGCACTTCAAGCGAGACCTTTGCCTTCTTCTTTCCGTATTGGTCAAGCTCGTTCTCCATGATACCGACCTCATCAGCCAACTAAATTCTAGTTTAGAGATATCGCGATTGATGCATACCGTAAGGATATTTTTGGGTACTTGTTGCCTTGAAATGACGATATCTGATGGGACTGGAGATACGAAGCTTTGTTTTAGGTAGTTGATCGACCAGCGGCCCTCCTGTAATCGCTTCGTTTTATTTGAATTCCTTATGGTCGGCTTTTTACATTGGTAGAGATTTTATAGATCTTTTTGCATGCACTTTTCGGCAGCTTCGTTTTTGACAGCTAGTTGCTAAAGGGGATTACGAATTTTAGTTAGAAAGTAATACTTTTGTTAGTCGGGAAAAGTGCGCGAAAGACAAAACAAAGGGAATGCGGGTTTTATTAAAAGTCCGACGTAAAGCCATCTGGAATAGCTGTCGGGTAAAATGTTACTTTGCCACCGCGGAGTCGTCTTCTGATTGCTTGCTCAACGGTATTTCTGATTAACATGGCCACGGTCATAGGGCCGACACCGCCCGGGACGGGTGTGATGTAGCCAGCAACCTGAAATTTCAGATAATAACAAACTCATTAATAGGTCTTGGTTAGTAAAGACCTCGGTCTAGTTACCTGCTTGGCTGCCTCTGTATCAACATCGCCAAACAATTTATTCTTTTTGCCTTCTTCGTGCGCTTCTTCGACGTTTATTCCGCAATCGATCACAACAGCGCCGGGTTTAATCCAGTCTCCTAAAAAGTATTATTCTTATAAAGAACTCAACGACATTTCCCCACCTTTTACAAAATGCTTCTTTCCAATGGCCACTATCAGAATGTCGGCTTTTTGGCACTGTTCCTTGATGTCTTTCGTCTTTGAGTGGCAGATCGTTGTGGTTCCATGATGCCACATAAACAATGAAGCGGCAGGGGAGCCGACAATCTTCGAACGGCCCAAAACAACTACATTCTTTCCTGACACGTAGTTAGGGTCGCCTAAAGTGGTCATTTGAACTGTGGATGGGGGGTTTTTACCAGTAGCTTGTTGGACAAGATATAGACATCCGAATGGGGTGCATGGGAAAATTGTTTTGTCGAGTTCACCCCGGAACAAGCGACCCGCATTTTCCCGGGTAAGGCCATCGACATCCTTTAAAATATTTTGTTTACGGTGTTACGATGCGAGTTTTACCTTGAGGGGATGGATCATGTCGACAACACTGTCGGCATCGATTTGGTTTGTCGTGTCGAGCGGTAGCTAAAATTATGTCTTTCATCCATTATGGAACCTTTGATTTCAATTTTAAAAAGCCAGATTTTTTTATTTTTAGGTATCCTATCTAAATCTCACTTGCACGATAATGCCGTCCACATTATTATCATTATTCAAACGCTCAATCTCGGCCTCCAACTGAGACTGGGTGGTCGTTTCCGGCAGTTTCACGAGCATCCCTAAAGGAACACGTGCCTTCGAAAACTTTTATGTATTCAACCTTGGGCCCCAATTTCGGCTGTCTTCTTCAACTTGGAACCGATGTAAACATTCGAGTCGGACCGGTTTCCCACCTAAAATTACAAAGTTTTACATGGCTGATGGGAATCCGGTACCTGCACGATTGCCAGAACCGCATTGAAATCTGGGGTCTCGAGCTTGACCTTCTTCAGCTGTTCTCCCACCTAAAAATTAGAGTAGAGTCTTTTTAAGGGAGAAAAACGGCGCATTACTGATGCAACGCTAGTCCATCCATTGATAATGAAGGGCCAACGGCCAATTTACGCAAGCGAACCATTGAACAAAATAAACATACGTCGTTGAGCACTTTTTGGCTGTATTCCAGCCCGCTGATGATTTTCGCCATCGTCTGAAAATTATAAATTTATTTATACAAAATCTGAATGGAAACCCGGAGCGAAATCGAGAGGATTAATTATAAAGATCGGCTGCAATTGCCCAGCCAGCCAAATAAACAACTAAAAAGGCTGGTTGATAACGAATACCCCTGTAAAAACAAGGGAAGGAGAGAAAAATGCATAGTATCAATCGGGAGCCATACTGACAGATGGGCAAATGTTTTTTAAGCATGGGCGGTGTTCGTCTAAAAGTAGCCGACGGCATTTGCAGAGGTCAGAGGTTATTGCGGAGACAGATAGGATCTGGTATTTGGTATCTAATCTCCTAGGCAGTCTCACCCACCAATAGATGCCAAGGGCTGTCGATTTGATTTTTGGTTTGTCGAGGATGGCTATGAAGGTGGCTCACGTGTCGGGGACGGGAGGCGGGTATCAAAAAAAATACATTTTAGTTTTATTGAGGGGATAGGTCGGATGGGGTTCAGAGGTTGTCACGCGGGGGTTGATCAAAGAAACAATATGTGGATTTTTGGGCTCATAGGGTGTAATTTTAGAGGCGGTAAGGCTACAGAGATAGGGGATGCTATATCGAAGCTACATCATTTCGGGAAAACTGTTTCTAACGCTCCATCAAGTTCCGGTTTCCAAGAAAATCACTCCAAAACACAGAAAACGATCTAGGAAAGCCGCTTAAAACACATTATGGTCAAAGCCGCCTCGAAATTACTATAACCGTCGCAAAAACACACAAAAATTTGCGGTAGAGTCCTAAGCAAAAATTCAAAACCGATACATAACCGTGCCACCATGGTAGAGAGTTGTTGTTTTTTTTGGAGGTGATCGTTGGATCGAGGAATGGCCTTCAAGTCCACAGATGCGATAACGGAATGGGGTGAATGGGCCGAGCGGCATCGAGAAAAAGGCAAGAAGGCCAGCCTTTTGCCTTCACCACACATACACAGAGAGAGAGAGAGACAGCCATCTCGGCCACCGGACTTCTCCTCAATTCCTGAACACATCACATCCCCCTGGTGGGGACGGTTGCTCTGACCCAGCCAACTATCCAGCCCTTTTATAGTCGAAAACAGCCACCAGTCAAGCAATGAGGGGGGATATAGGGTAAATTTATATAAAAGGCTGCAGGGGGATAAACATTACAATAGATATTGCTGGACATTGCTGAATCCTGGAAAATTGAAAAATTTTCTATCATCTGCATGTATAGGATATCATTCGGGTGATTACTTCTCAGAAGGCCCCTGAAAATGTTGTAAAAATTAACGGCCTGGAATTTCAGAAAAATTTCGTCTGGTTATCAATAGGGAGAACAAGTAACAGTAAAAAATGTAGTAACTATATAATTTATATTAAAATTGAACGGATGGTAAAAATTGAAATTCTGACTTTTTTTAACGGCTGCGGCATATATACTGATATTTTTGCGCATTACCAGAGGTCGAGGATACAATAAATACATAAAAATCCATAAATTCGCTACAGAATTTAACATATAGTTAAAAATCATCTACTCCCGCTTTTCCGTCACTCCATTCATAAACCACAACCTGCACTTACACTTCCCCAAAAATCCAGCGAAACACAACAGACAGCAATCCCATCTTTCAACCATTTTCCGACTCGCCACACCTCGTCAATGTTTGTTTGTGGCAAAATGTAGTCTCTGCGGCGTCAATTCATCGCTTGCCAACCCCAGCCACCCATTTCTGGCGAGGGTCGAACCGTGTCCCGATTTGATAACGTCTCCATCAGCGGGCTACTACCCATTGTTCCGACTCACGTATTTGCATTCCCTTCTAAAATCGATTGCGTTCCCCTAATATGGCCTACTTGGATTATGCTGGCTCCGGCATCCCTTCACCAGCACTTTTGGAAACTGTTGCTGAACAAATAAAAACTATTAACCTGGCAAACCCACATTCGAGGTATTGAAAGAACGCAAAACTTTAGTCCGTTTTAGACACTCTACCTCTCAATCAACGTATCAAATCGTCGAGGAAACGAGGTTGAGGTAATAAAATCAATTTTCACGCTTTATTCTTCAGATTAGCATCCTAGAATACTTTAATACTGAGGATTATGAGGTGATCTTCACTGCAAATGCTACTCGCTCTTTGCAAATCGTTGCTGAAAATTTCGTCTTCGGGGAGAAAACTAAACTATGCAATTCGATAGACACAATTTTGCCGGAAACAGGTTTATTTTTAAGAGCTTTGTTCCATTTTCATAGGCCCTGCTTTTTGTTACATGAATGATGCCCATAATTCTGTTATGGGAATGCGCGAAATCGTCAAAAATCGTGTAGATTCCGTTGCTTGTTTGAAATTCGATAGGTAGGATCTTCTTATTTCGTTTATAAAAGTTTCCAGCATCGTTTGGGACTCGATTCAACCTATTCAAAATAGCTTATTGATGTACACGGCAATGAGCAACTTTTCTGGCCGTCAATACCCTTTAGAAAATGTGGAAAAATTACAGAGCAAAGGTAAATTCTATCGGTTAAGGTTCAAATTTTTAATGATGTTTTTTAGGTTGGAGTGTTTGTATTGATTCGGCTGCACTAATATCTTCTTCTTCGTTGGACCTTTCGAAAATCCAGCCTCATTTTCTGGTAGCATCATTTTACAAAATATTTGGGTATCCTACCGGTAATGCAACTGATTTTAATCACTGGGAAATGAAATCCAGGAATCGGATGTCTATTGGTGCATAAAGTTGCACGAATGAAGTTGAAAAAGCAGCATTTTGCGGGTGGAACCTTAGCGATGGCCGATCCATTCTCTTTTATTTCGCATCAGAAGGAAGAGCTGAGCGAGCGGTTTGTCAAAATCTTGAAAATCCTATGTTTTTAGGTTCGAGGACGGTACAATTAATTATTACGCTATCGCTGCCTTACGGGAAGCGTTTGTCGAGCTCGAGAAATGGGGTACAGGCAGTTTTGCATTCTAATTCAAACTTTAGGAACTATTAATCGTGTGAAGGCAAATGCATGTTCCTTAACAAAAAATGCGCTCGAAATGCTGCGCTCTCGATTTCATTGGAATGGGAAGCCATTAGTCAAAGTATACGGGCATGATAGCGTTTATTATGGTCCTATCATCGCTTTCAATTTATTACGTGATGACGGTTCGTTCATCGGGTATAATGAGGTAATGTAGTGGTTATATTTTGTCTAGTTGATTTTTCTAGGCTGAAAAAATGTGCAGTTTATTTGGGGTGCAATTGCGGACGGGTTGTTTTTGCAATATCGGTATGTTTTGTTTTGCCCTTGCAATTTGTAGTTTAGGGGCTTGCATGGAACATCTTGGGATCACTCCCGATGAGCTTCATTTAAATTTCTTGGTAGCATTTGGTTCGGAAAGAAACCAAATTTTTAGAGTGGGAAAAAATGTGGTGATGAGATGGATACACACAATGGGAAACCGTTGGGCGCCGTTCGGATATCATTTGGAAGATTTTCAAAGCAGGAGGTATTAGGGAAAGTCTGAAATATTCTTTTCTAGGACATCGATCTACTAGAGAAAGTTCTGGAATGCTGCTTCCTTGGCACAACATCGATCCTAAAGTCCAATCCCTCGTCACATTCCATCGCTGATTTTCGCCCAAAAATCAGTAAAATCTATTACTATCCGATCAAATCTGCGCGAGGAATACGAGCCAGACAGTAAGCTACATCTATTCTACCATAGTTGTATTTTTAGAGCCGAGCTGTCCCCTTCCGGTTTCACGTACGACCGCCGATTCCTGGTACAAAGTCTCGGCGTTACCCTGACGCAAAAGAAAAACCCGGAAATGTGCTTGCTAAAAACCGAGGCGAGGGATTTCACTGTCCATGAAATATCGAATTTTTTAGATTGTCAAAAATCAACTGAACGTCCATTCTGGCGACGAAAACTTTTATGATAGTTTGCAAGTTCCGTTAGAAGCGACCGATATTAAGAGAAAAACCATAATTTGCGAGGACAGGTAGGTCAAAATCTGCCAAAAAATGAGTTTTAGCGTTGGAACTTACGATTGTGGAGATAAAGCGGGAAAATGGCTAACGAAGACGTTGCGGATTCCGAATTGTCGGTTATTACGAGCCGAATGTGGTAGGTTAAAATCTTATTACCATGCCGTTTTAGATACTCAACGCAGTCTATCTAACGAATCGCCCTTCTTGTTTATAAATGAGGCCTCGGTCCAGGTATCTTTATAGCGCTGGATTCCGAGAGTTTGCACAGATTCTGGCCGAGCAAATCGCGTTAACGCGGGAGGAGCTGATTCTGCGCTTCCGGCCAAATATCGTCGTCCGTGGATTACCGGCTTTTATGGAAGATGAGATAGAACGGATATCCATTGGAGAAGCGGAATTTGAGGTGAGGGAACGAAGGTTGCACTTCCAGTTTTAAAATACATGATTTAAAATGTTGACAAGGAAGTTTTGTATACTATTCCGGAAAGGATTTTTATGTCGTGGAACTTTGGATGTAATCAAATTGTAGGTAACCGGGAAGTGTACGAGGTGTGAAATGATTTGTGTAGACCCGGAAACAGGCATCAAGGATCCAGCGTTAATTGTTGCCCTGCGTAACTATCGGAATCGACAAAAAGTATTTTTTTACATACAAATATAGGCCAAGAAATTAAGATGACATTCGGGATTTATTTGCGTCAGACTAACTACGAAGATGGATCGAAAATATGCGAGAATGAACCAGTCACGTGTTTTGGTGGAAAATAAAGATAATATACCGCAGAAATACAATGTTTAATCATCCGGATATCTGGCATTATCGTTTAAGAGGTAGTCCTCGACGATATTAGCGAATTGGTCACCGGTCAATTGCCCCGCCGATGATATATCCAGCTCCCGGAATACCTAAATTAAATATTTCATCTCAAGAAGATATCAACGTCAACGAATTATTTATGAAATTACCTTTTCGGCTAGCTCATCATCAAAGTTTCCCACTTCTTTAGCGATATACTAAAAAGTCTAGCTTTTTGGATGGGTGATGGATTATACCTTAAATTCATCCTCACTGATTACCCCGTTTTGATCAAGATCGAAGATGGAGAAGCATTCCTGACAGGTTAAAGTTTCGAGGGGTCTTGTTTGTCATACCTTGATTAACTCCTCGTTTGTCGATTTGGCGATTGTTTGTGATTTCTTCATGCAAGCGCAGAACTCGTTGAAATCGATTTCCCCATTTCCATCGGCGTCAACCTAACAATTTTTTTGCGGAAAGTTATGCAAACCTCTCGAATGATATTGTCAATCTCGGACTCACTGACCGAAATGCCGATGCTGATCATTGCCTGGAGAAAAATTCGTCGATTCAAATCATCAAACAACGAAACCTGCTTTAGTTCTTCGTTTCCAATGGCACCCGAGCCATCAGTGTCGAACATTGCAAAGATTTGGCGGTATTCTTTTAACTCTTTTCTGCAAATATTTTAAGATGGTCAAACGAGCCGTAGCTTACTTGGTATATTTGACTCCAGATTGCCCTTCCGCAGGTACCGATATTACCGTAATTCGGCTTGCATTTGATCCTTTCCGGTCAGCACCTCCCATCTGAATTTCCCAGAAATTTCTGAAGCTCTTTCTCTTACCGTTTCCGGAGTCACAGCATTTGTACGCGGGAAACCCACTTTCGAGCCACGAATCATCCCGGCAGCGACAATTTTTCCCTAATAATTATATTTTCCAAGGATGGTCTATATTTAATAAGTTATTATTATTTGGAAAAAAAGCGACGTGGAAAACTGGAAAACTGGCAGTTGGCCCATGCCCTTGCCCAACTCGACCCACTTGGCTAATCGTTTCAGGGTCCTCCCCGGTGGGACCCTTGGGCATAATGCAATTCTAACGTGAAAGAGATTGTCCTGCTAGCTTTTCTAGAAGACAAACATCGAACGGAATATCAGGAAATGCATGCATCTTCCTTCTAGGCAGCGCGGAGAAGCAAAAAAAATTTACGTCGATCGGTGACCCGAATGAAATTTTCCGTCTGGGTGGAACTATCAAAATTTTGAATACGCGGGCCAAGATACCTGAAAGATGCTCTTAAATACAGGCTACTTAGGAAAAGCTCTTCCAAGAAGAATTGTGATTCGGTGCCCGCGTTTTCTTGCCGGCGGGCCATTCGGTTTTATACCCGCATAATCCGACCGGAAATGGGCAGATGGATCACCGGCCGGTGGGCAAATACTTTATTTTCGTGAACTCACAGGATGAAGAGGAAAAAGGTAAGTCTTAGTTGACGCATGTGTGATCCAAAAGACAGTGGATTTTCGATCGGAAACCGGCGAAACATTTGCGGAGTGATTTTGGGGATTATTGGAATTGGTCGAATTTTCAGGGAAAACACAAGGTTTTTTTGAGTGATTTTTGTCTTTTGGGGCTTACTGTAGTTTGGGTAATCTTGTGTTTTAAAATTTGCGTTTCCTTGTGAATTTCCTTTAACGAAGAATCTTTTGTGTTAATTTTTGTTCAGTATATTTTTCCATAATGAACAAAACAAACATTGTGCCGCCTCCCAATTTTTCGAAGGAAAGCGCTATCTTTTTACTGTTTTTTATCCTGTAGGTCCACCGTATTACGGCATACAAAATTATATTTTAGGTGAATTATTAATTTGAGTCAAGGTAATGTATTACTTTCTTTAAGCATATTTTTACAAAATTTCGTCACTATGACATGGAAACTTCCCGGAACTTCAAGCCTTTTCCGTGACATTTCCATTAACGTCCCTCAAATTCCGCCTTTATCACTTCCGTTAATTTACAACCCATTCCCCCTTTCCCGTTCTGCGTGTTGTTTGCCAAAAAGGCAATTTTTTAGAGGTCGGCAGGAGAAACCGGGGTTTCGGCATGCACGCATTGGCCCTTTATCTCCGGGGCCAGCCCTTGCGATAAGGATTTTCTGTATAAGACGGATTACCTGCAAGCTTCTTGTATCCCACAATCACAGCTACCGTATTTCTTGTCATGAGGAACTACGTCATTGTCGGTGAGTACTTTTTTGAATTTTTTTTGGTTTATAGACCACTTAATTTACGCCATTGAACTGTCATTTTAGCCGTACTTGTTGGCCTCGCCGTTGCCATGCCTTTTGATGTTGCTGAGCAAAAAGTGCAGCCAAAGCAGAGGGATAACTGTGGTGCTATTACCCTTCCACTGTTGGACCAGAAGCTCAACCAGCTGCGAATGATTAGGGGCAAGCAAGGAAGTTAGTTATTTGATATTTTGATAATTTTAGTGGACAGTTAAAATTATAGGCCTAACCTCTAATATTCATTCTTTCAGAGGCTAACAGCGTCAACTGTGAAATTTGCCTGGACCTCGTTGATATTGCCAAAACCTACGAAGAGTGCGGCGAAGTAAGCCCAACCCTACGCAATCGTGATTTTCCCTAGGCTTACGTCGAACACAAATTGGAAGCCAAGTGTGATGAAGACTTCGAGAAGCAGCCTGAGGCCGACAAGGCTTGCCGCGGAATCGTAGACGAAATTGCCCACGATGTAATTTGGCACAGAAAACTCACAAATAATGCATATTTTAGGTGATCGATGACACCGAACATCAAGATGCTCCCAGCATGTGCACCAAGTGGCTGAAGCAAGTCTGCAAATACGACTAAGCGCTGAAATAAATCCTGGTGTAAAATAAACTGTATATAGTCTTTGTGGCACACACAAAACTACATGTGATTTTTGGGCTCGCGGTGAAGCTGGGTGATTGCGGTGGTTGGACCGCATGGGGAAGGTCTTAAATCATGATAAGGGGAAGAGTTAAAAACGGCTGGAATTTTGGGGAGGATTGGAATTGCTTTAACCAGTCAACATGAATGGTTTGCCAGCGATTGGTAAGTAAAAGAAAGGACTTTTCTAGACTTATGACATCTTACAAAACCTCCGGATGTATTCTATCACCCTTTTTACATAGTGTTAGTGGATACTTAAATACATCGAAGTGTCAGTTAGCAATTATATGAACAGTTTTCAGTGCTCTTGGCCAGTGTAACCTACTGTAGCTACGCTGCAATCCTGCCCGCAAAATTCGATGCAACCGTCCCGGTCCCGACCGACAATTGCGGACTTATCTCGAACCCTTTGAAGATCGCCGAGCTGAAGGCCCGTCAAACTCGCTGGGCGAAAGTTAAGGGTCGGTTTCTGTGCTGAACAAGTTTTTCAAAATCTCCACTCACTAAACTATCGATTTAGCATCCGATCTCAATTGTGAGCTCTGCCTTGACTTTGTTGAAATTGCAAAGACCTATGAGGAATGTGACGAAGTAATTTGAACGTTTATCTAGACAAATTTTCCGTAATCAGGAGGCTATCGAGCATAAGATGATTGCGGGCTGCCATGACAAATTTAAGGATCCGCTTGAAGCCTTTATCTGCAGCTTGGTCTGCTACGAAATTGGAGAAGATGTAAGAGTAGCTCCCATTTTCTGTTTTTCATAAATTAACTTCCAGGGTTAACCTGTACTAAATAATGGATTCCAGATTGTCAAAGAAACCGACAAACAAGATCCGGTAGCCACTTGCAGCAAGTTGTTCGGCTGCAAATATGACTGATTTTAATGTAGTTTCCGAAATAAACCATGCATGATTTTGCTCTGTTCAATGACGCCCCGAATTTTCTTAATCAGCCCACCTGTTTGTACCCGGCCCGAATGATCGCCTCTTTGCGAAAGCGGGGTTTATCAGCGCGGCGAAAACTGAGGGCGAAGGGTCCGGCGTGTCAGGGTGGATAACCAATAAATCATTCAAGCAGACGCCGTGCCCAAATACAATGAGGGTTATTCTTTGTCTTGCTGTCAGTAAGTGAGGAGGTGTAATTTTAGAGGAGTTGGTTTAGGCTTTGTCCTCGTGTTTTCTGTTGCTATTCCGAAGAAACGGGATACGAATTGTGGAGCTGTTACCTTCCCAAAGGGAAAGAGAGGTTGGCCTTTTTATGATATTCGTCCATGTTTCTTTTTGATTAATTAAATAATTCTAGGCAATGAGGCGACCGGTGTATGGTGTGAAATATGCCTGACCGTAGCTGAAATTGCGAAGCAATATGAGGAGTGCGGAGAGGTAACCGTATCTCGAGAAATATATTCAACATTTAGGAATGGTGCGAAGAACAGCTCGATCACTATTGTGAATCCAAATTCAAGGACAACACCATCCCGGTATGCGAGAAATTTGTGAATGGTATTTTCGATCAGGTAGGGCGCTTTTTTCTGAAAAATTTTTGTAATCAACTTCTTGTGTATGAAATTATGTAAATATTTTAGATCATTGACGACACTATCCATCAAAACACAACCCGGGAGTGTGATGAGCTGTTGCACGACCCTAACTGTCATCTGGCCTAATCCGAATAGATCTTGGTCCGAAAACCTTCTAAGCTTTTCTAATACATATAATTTATCTACTCCGACAAACGCACTACCAATCAACCCTTGCATTTATACATAAAATAATGCTACTCGTATAATACCGCTAGCACGCTAATTAGGATGCAAAGCAAGAGTTTCAAGGAAACCTGGTTCTTCTCCAAATAAAATTCTTAGCTTTTGGATTTGCATACTAATTAGAATTTTATTCCATAAGTAGGTTCCTTTACCTGGATTTCCACTGTATACCGCCACAGACACTTGGACCTCCAAGGTGGTACGAGTTACGACAATTAATCTTTCGTGCCCTCGACAAAAACTCCATTGATAGATCCACTAGGCCCTCGGAAGCCATCGTTTATGAAAAAGGTGTCTCGTGACCGAGAGGGCACATGTCGGTCTAGGCTTTTCCCAGGGAGGTGCTAGGGCGTTGGGGCTCTACTCGAGCCGGTCGGCCACCATCTCGGGTTTACACCCGGTCATCCACCGGGTCTTCGACCCGCCCAACGGCTGCTGCTCACGACTTGCCAGCCTAGTCTGCCCGCCATTGTTGCTTGGATTAATTAGATGGGTTTTTGGCAGGGAAGGATGGGTTGGCAACATTTAGGGGAAGGCTAAATTCCCTAATTTTTCTGCTAATAACACGGCTCCAAAACCAGGGTCCAACCACCCCGATAACCCACCTATACCGAATAATTCACAACCCACCTGTCTCTTTGTTTTTGCCATCCGCCCTCAATCCACCCCCGCCCAAACTAATCTCTCCTAGTTGGCCCTCCCCCCGGAAACAGGCTGCTCCCTGCTGCTGCTCACTTTTTGCGTACTGTTTTTTAGACCCGCCGACCCATTCCCCCAAAATGGTTATAAAACGTAGGCTGTAGGGGGCGTGCTGGGATGCAAATGGGGGCAGAGAAAGGCGTTCCGCCCGGGTTCACACACCATTCGCGCCTTTTCAAGGCTGCCGCTCGTTCCATTTTTTTTGCTGTGAACGCTTGGCTATCCATCGGTGGTAGGCCCGCTTCACAGATGGTGATTTAAAAATATAAATAAATTTCTTGTCAGACCGCCAGCGGGAGGCGCAAATAGGTCACAGCAAGCTCCAAAAACCGCTTCACGGTTATTCAGCCTTGTTTGGGAACGGTTACAAACAAATCTTAGCGGCGGGAGGTAAAAGGGGTCATGTTGCTGCTTTTATATGGTGCGCCTTAATTCCACTAAAAGCCAATTTATCCCAGCACGTAGTATCAGCTTATTTATGATAAAAACGTCATTCTAATGACGAAAAAACCCTGCCAGCATCTACCGGCCTTACCATAAGCTTCTTCACGAGCCCGTAACATAAGCTTCGCTCTCACTTTTGTTTTTCTTGGAACGGCATGGTTATCGTTGTGGTGAGCAAGCGTCACAGATTTCCCGTTTAATAACGAAAATTCAATTTTCTCCCAACCCCCGCCCCTTCCGGAGCGAACCGCAATTAGGTCCCGTCCGCTCGAAGTCAAACCATGGTGCTGACACTTGGCTTCCCGACGGCTTGTCTAATCGCATCATCTCCGTGCCGAGCTATGCAAAAGCACTCGACTGCCACTCGAAAGACCCGGGTTGTGAACTGGGTATACCCAAATGGCCAAGGAGGGCTGTTCGTCATCTCTATAGTCCCCCCGGTCCGGGGCGGGTGCCCCATCTGGCCCTCTGCCAGCTAATAGGGGCCCACTATGTACCAATAAACCACCCATCGGCCCCCGGGGTCGGGCTTTACCTCCCCGGGTCCATCCCGCGTCGTTTCTATGTTCGGCCCGATGGGCACGCCATTCTCTCTGTCTCGGCCGCCAAATGGATTTGCATAAATTTCTGACCGGTTGTGTGCGGGTGGGCACTGGTTGGTTGACAAGGCTTATTTGTTGGGTCTTTGATTCCAGCTCTTCAGAGAGTAAAGAAGTCTTGTTTTAATTGCATATACAATTCATTTTTCTTACGCGAAATATGAAAAGTGTAATTTTTAGAGCTTAAAATTTTAAAGCCATGCCATTGTTTCGGTTTATGCTTTATCGAGACACAAAAACATTAATTTTCCAATGTATGTACAACCAACACCAGGACTTCCGAATATACATTATTACATTATTGTCTATGCAAATTATTGAAAATGTATGATTTATGTATATGAAAGGCTAAAATTTAAGGGTCTGTTGCCTTAACATGGTCTCGATTCTTGCTTTCCCGTTTTTATATGGTACGTCGGCGTATTATTAAAATATCGAATAGTCGATCATTAGAAACCCTTTTTAACAGAAAAATCTAATATCTGTACTACAAAATTCCTTTTGAGAAATTAGCATACTGGACTCAATAAAATAGACATTAATTTACCGGACGCAGCCGTTTATTTGAGTATTATTCTAGATTAGAATTTCCATGGGGAGCTGCACATGTTACCCAAGACGAAATGGTGGAAGTGCACCCATCCCATCCACTCCATAAAATCCATCTCTGCACCATAAACGGACGGATTCCCTAGGGGATGTTTCAACGGAAGGGAACGCTTTACTATTGCCCTAGCCCCCACGCCCGGCTTTCTATCCCTTTCCCCTTCCCATCCATCCAACATCCGCTAGTCAAACATTTTTGACCCTGAGCCCGCTTATTATTGCGTCAACCCTAGGTGACAGATTGGTCGACTGGTGGTTAAATGATGCCCTTCGGAAAATGGATAGTACATCCACTTGATGCACCCTTTAGGAAAGAAGCTCGAATGTGTTTATTCCCACTTATTGGGCTGACAATCCCGAGGTGTGCCTGCCTTTTTTCACGCATTGTTGCAAGGGGAGGCAATAGGCTGGCATTGACAGCGTTAAGGGGCTGCACTTGGCTTTACGTCGGTTACAAGTGGTGTCGTGTAGTGGTCGGGATGGTTTGGACAGCTATATAATGTTGTTTAGTGGGGAAGTATAGGTTTCTTTAGAAGTAATGCCAAGTGCACCTTTTTCAAGTGTCGTTTTCACTACGTTTTTTAGTGTTTGCGTGGGCTTTTTAAGCCCAGGTAGAAGATACTACATATAAAAAGTGTCTACCTGTGTCAGAATTTGCATCAATACTTCCTTAAATATATCTTACATCCATCATTTTTTTACATGCTGTTTTCCCAATTAAGTTTAAATTTTTCTCTAAAAGTTTTAAATTTTCTATTTTTTTGCCAAGGTGTTTTTTATGCAAATTACCTATTACATTGTCCCAAACGGCGCCTGAATGGTGAAGCCGTGATGATGGGGTTTTTCAATCCGTTCTACAATTCTGTATACCCTAGTTTTCGCATCCCGAACAGACCTGAACCGTGTTCTTTACACCCACTTGAATGTATTCTTTCCATTCGGCCCCCCCCGCAACAATCCATCCGATCCAATTTACTACATTCGAGACGGCTGCAAATTCTCGAGTCCATTCTCCAGCCTAACCCACCCCCTAGGGCTGAGTGACTCATTGTCGTCGCCATTCGCCCCTCCGCCATTCCCATGGTGGTTCCCTATTTCACAATTCCGCTCATCCCCACCCTAGCCAGCTCGCATTCCAATTTCGCCTGATCCTTCCTGCTAGCCAAGGGTCACTAGGGCCCACCCCTCTTCTTCTCATCTCCATAGCTGGGGCACCATTTCCCAGGCTTCTCCCCCTCCCTCGACGGCCTTTTTGCCTCCCCTAGCGGGGCACCCCCGGCGGACCAATTTGTTCTTGACATCGATTCCATGGCTTTTGGCTGGGTGCGCGTCCTTTTTCGGGGCTGGCATCCTTATTAATTTTGGGGAAGGTCGGAGGCTGGTGGGGTGTGTGAGCTAAAGTTTTACGTTACGATTTTTTTGCTGAGAGGCCTGGGTTTTGGTCGTCTGCTTGAGGTTAGGTTTTGCTGGTTTGCTTGCTTTGTTGCGTTTTATTCTGTTTTGCAGCCACTTACTGATCCTGATTAAAGTTTAGGTATAGGATCCTGCTTCGTTGGGAAGGAATTTTTTTGCTGATTCCGAATCCGTTTTCAACCTTTTTCAAATAACCCGATTTCAAGAGTTACAGACACCTTTTAGCGTCACAAATTTTCCGAAAAATGACATTAGGATCGGAAATGCGCAAATTCGATCCCTTTAAAAGTGCTTAAAATTCGATGGCCCCTTCTAGTAAAAAGGCAGTGGTCATCAGTAATGCATGCGTTGGATGTCGAAGAGGGGGTGCCGGGTGGTGAAGATAGAGATCGGCAGGGGTCGGGAAGGCGCAAAAAGCGAAATCTCCGGCGTCTTAAGGGGCTGACTGGGTATATGGACCCTGGCGGGCGACGATCCACATTCACCACAGCGTCCGCGTATCGCTCACCATTTCTTGTGCGCCTCGTTGTTCGGGGCGTTTTGCGGCGGTATACGTTGGGGGTCTGTTCTGTGACTCACAAATTTTGAGGAGGTGTTTAGGGCCCTATGAGCAGCAGTGGTCTTTTTGTCGTATCAAGTTGCAATGAATGACCTGGCACGCCCACATTATTTGTTGACCTAATATGCTGGAATGTGGGGGAATTTGGGTGACAGATTTGCCATTGGCTGTTATTACTGGTTTTTACACCAAAATTATATTTTATATCATCTTTTCCGAGGTGTGCTAATTGTTTTTTTACTCGAAGGTAGTGGATATTTTCCAATGACGAAATTTAAATAATTGAATTGGTCAAGCTGCCACAAAAAAAATTGAAGTAATTCTACTGTTTCGGAAAAGCTTATGCTCTTCCAATAACTCCTACTCGCCCTTACTACCCGTACTCCGAAGGTCTGACCGAACCACCACCTCTTCTCCCCCTCTTTCCCATTCTAATTCCACTAATGCCTCCTAGCCAATTGAAAAACCTCCCCCTACCTTGCCATTAACCTTGAAGTACCCCCAAAAAAAAGCCCTGGTGGACCCGCCGGGCCATTCGTTTTTCATGTCAAATGCGCTGATCAATTGGGTTGTACGGGTGCGAGGTGTTCAAGTCGTGGAGGGATTGTCGTCACCTTGAGCCCGGGCGGACATCACTCACCCGGCGGCTACCATCTGCGCCCCTATTCCATTCCCTTCGCCCGTCCAAGGTGACCAAATTTTTTCATTATATTCCGGGGAGCAGGAGGGGGTTGAGGGGAGGGCTCGGCACCAATTCTGTTGGCCCTGGGGGGTACTGAATTATTTGAGGGTTGTAGGTTGGGTGTGGGCCAAGGGTGTGTGGGCAGAGAAGAAGTTTGTTATGTCTATAGTATTCGTTTTCAAGGAGAATTGTCTTGGAAACCTTGGATAGGGTCTCGGCATAGTCTCAGAAATCGGAATCTCGAATTTTCCTAAATCAATTTTTCATAATATGGAAATTTCCCCAGGTTGGAAACGTTCCATTCCGCATTTTGCTGTGGTTCCTAAAATTGTTAGATTCGAGATCCTTATCCGATTACGCTGATTTTCTAAACGTCGCAAAAATACCTCTCCGTGTCGTCGTAAATACCGACTTCCCTTAATAATCCATCTGACATCTCCCAGCCATTTTTCACCCTTTTTATGATCTGCTCAAGAAAAGCCTACCCGTACCCGCCTTCCATTATCCACCTCATTTTCCCACGTTATTCGATGCATTGACAAAAAGCGAGTACCCGCTTTGTCGGCACCCCGGATTACTACAAGGACCCCCTCTCTCCCTCTGGTCCCATTGGTAGCCAGCGGGTGTAAGACCTATAAATTGGCCTCATTTGCCCTCCTCTTTCTCGCTATCTCTCTGCCTTCTCCGGGTTGGTCGTTCAATTCTTTTGGCCCACTTTCCGGAATGGTGCCTCTTTTCGGGTCTTTCTACCCTTTCCCCCCTTCCGAAATGCCCTCCCATCCATTATGCGTCTAGAGTTCCGCGGCGCGCCCTCCCAATCTTGGTTTCTTTGTGTCCTTTCCTCTCTCTTGTGTGGTCACTACCAGGCTTTAGAATGTTTCCTGCAAAACTTACGCCACGGGATCGAGTAGTTTTGGGGTGGGGGATGCGATTTGGTAGATGCAATTATTGCTTCCCTCGATTTGGGTTGTGGGCGCAGCTTGTTCGACACATTACTGTGCGATGGCGATGTTTTCTGGTGCTTCTAAAATTTTAAACTAGACTTTAAACTTTTAAACCAACTTTAAATATAGCCGAGAAATCTTCCTATTTAGAACTCTTATTTCCAAGGGTATGGTTTTTTCAGGATTGGGAATTTTGTAAAAAGAAGGATATTTTCGGCCCGTCCTATCATTAGATAAAAATTACTGGCACTTTCCTAAAACCATTAAAAACTTTTTAGCTTTATAACCTGATTTCCAATCTATGAATCAGCAGTCCTGATGCAATGAAAATCTCGATAAATCTGGTGCAATAATTTTCCTATATATCCGTTTCTTGTTCCATTTTCTTTAATTTTGCAAATCTTAAGCCATACAAAAATTCCAGAGAAATTGTATCCTATGATGTGAACAATCTGTTGATGCCGCCAAGTGATAGAATAGAGGTACAAATATCCAAACTATCCTTATTAATTTTAAGAACGTCTTTCACGGTCATGCTCTTTTTGGTGCTCAACTGGTTGTCGTTTGCATATCTTGCCACAGTATTTAGTCATGTAAGTTAAAAAGTGGTAAAAATGAAAATATAAAATCAGGTAGCCGCGCAGAGTTCGAATTCCAACGCTACCGTAGCCGCCTGGCTATGGGATACAAAGGAAGAGCCGGCGTTGGAGGTAATAGTTAATAAAAAAAATACTTCTTAATTTTTTACAATTCTTGTTAGCTAAAATTTAAATCGTAGTGCGCCAATTTTCGCAGCCATAGCTTAATGCAATTTTTAGGTCCACCATACCTCAAATACAGCAGCAGTATGGGGAGAACCGACCCCGGATTTTTCCATGCTCCAACTTGGCAGCCAACCTCATCGTGTCCTTCGCGCTTTAATGTTCTTAGATAAGAGAACGGTAATTTTAATAATTCGAAGATATGCAATTTTTTTCAGGCGGAATACTATGAATACGACCTCGTCGAGCTGCGAGCCAGGGTTTCCGAGTTGGTCCAAGAGGCGAATACCGTAAGCCGAAGAAAACATTCGTAAAATCGTTTTTCTAGTATTTTATTCAATTTCGTCTTGGAATTGTGCTCGTCGATATCTTGCAAACAGACCGAACAGACCTGAGCTTGTATTCATTTCAAGAATATAGGAACCAGAGGTACCCTCTCTCGAATACAATATCGTTTTGATTTTTTTAGACTACACAAGCTACCAGCCCATGATTTTGCCGTTTTGATATCCTTCAAATATGCCGGGGGATTGGCGTTCGTCGGTGGCATGTGTACATCTACTAGTGTCATGATGTGTGGAGTAAGTTCAAGTTTTTATAAAATTTGAATTCCGATAGTTTTTCCCTCAACAACCATCTGCGATGGGGTCGATTTTCTTCCACGAGGTCGCGCATCTGCTGGGAGTTCCACATAAGGAAGCAAACGCGACACTAAAGGTAGGGAATTAATAAACACCTGCTTGATACCAAAAGTCAGGCCCTATTGTCTTATTTGCGTCTTCACCTGCGCCATTATTTTCTTCCTTATAGTTCTGCTGGGTTTTGTCAAAAGTAGCTCCTCGTAATCTTTTTATAATTATCCTCCTTTTGAAATGGTTTTTAAAAATGAATTCCGGATTTTGTTTATATTGTCAAGAATTTTTCGCTAATCGAACCTTTTGTTGAAAAATCAAATTTGGTCTAATTTGGTCCATCTTGCTCTAAACTTATCCGAAGTTAATGACTTTAAGACCAAAATCCTATTCCGTTTTAGCGGGAAATTCCACCAAAAATCCCACCAAAACTCTCTAAAAGGAATTTCCAGCCCTTGTCTAATCTTTCCTCTAGCTACAACATTTTTAAACCCGTAACGCAACCCGTTGGCATTCCAACAAATCTTCCCCATACCGACAGCCGCCTCATTTTTTCGTCGGTTCTCCTCAAAAAACGCGCTAGCTACCCCAACTGTGGGTCACAAGGCCGTCGTGTGCAGCTTTCGACACAAAGCCTGACAGCTGCAGGATTGAACACGCCGGGCTCAACTTCAATTTCCAGGTTCCCCTCTGTACCTGCAAATCGGCGACCGCCTACACTGTCGACGAACCGTGTTTACGGATACCGTGAGTTTTTTGGGCCTTATAGGAAGAAGATCTATAGCTTTAGGGTCTCTCTCTTGTTTCTATATCTCTCTCTCTCTCTCTCTTCTCTCTCTCTCTCTCTCTCTCTCTCTCCCTCTCTCTCGCTATAAGTTCTAAAGGTTAAAAGTTCTCTAACGATAGAACCAACTTTTTTTTGGGAAACTTTCTGTATGAAACATAGCTTTACATAGGAATTTCTGAAAAAATATTAAATGCTTGTCTGCGTTTTTATACGCGCCATTTTGTTGAACACACTTTTATAAATTTTAATTAACTTCTAAAAATAAAAATACGTATTCCAATTTTTTACACAACCCTTTGATTTTGAACAAACCCCCCTATAACGCCAAGCAGCTCGAGTCACCCACCTCAACAGTGCCCATTCAATTGCCCCCCTTCCGATATATTTACCGACATTTTTCGCCCGGCCAACTAAAGGCTCTTTTAACAGACCTGTCCCAACCGATTCCTATTGACATTAAAGATTTCTCACCTTTCCCGGAATAGGGTACCCCCTCTTCAACCCTCCGGAGATTTTCCTTCGATCCTCAAAAATTCGAAACCCCTTCCCTAGCTTACTACTATTCCCTAGTTGCCAGTTTGCATGGCCAGATGGGGCTCAGGCGAAAATATTTTGTCCGCAGGAATTACACCGTCGTGTAAGATTGATTTGGCACTCTGTGGTTTGGCAAGGATAGTCGATTTGTTGCAGGGGATTCGACCACGACTGCACCGCACAACAATTGGCCAATATCGTCTACAAGAATCGGTGTTTGAAGACCAATCATAACGAGATGGCATCGATTGCGATTTGTGGGAATGGCGTGGTAAGTGATTTCGGGATTGGTTTATATTCAAAAGAATCACAATAAAAAGTATAAATTAGCCTTTTCCAGTTATTAATTTAAGATGCTATTTTAGGTAGAATCCGGAGAACAATGTGATTGCGGCCTTGCTGCACAATGCGGATCTTCGTGGAATTGCGATTATTTAAGATGCGAATATCGGCTACATCCAGTGTTTTTGGTATGTTTTACCCTACTAACACTTCGAAATTAGCAAATAAAAATTTTTAAAATATCGTACTAGCTGAGAAAACCGTAAATTAAAACTATCTAAAATTATAGCTTTCATTTTTCTGTTTCCTAAAAGTTCCAAATTACCTTTGTTACGAAAAGCAATATCAACGCTTAAAAATGGGCAAATTAAAAATTTCAATTATTAGGCCAGCTCAGCAAAACGACATCAAATTCGCAGTATTGTACATTACGCACGTGTCGTGAAAACGCCAAAAAATCGTGTTGCGAAAAAACCTGGGCAACGCTGCAAAACCTGTAAATTAAAAATTTTGTGGCATTATTTAGCTCAGAAACCTAACATGCATGGTATTTATGCATAACTATGGTATGTGACACGACAATGAAAACTGCCAATTTTCGCAGCAGAGCCGAGTACAAATGAGCGTTGTTGCCAATAGCCAGATCAACTTCCATGGCCTTAAATCAATCGTAAAGGTTCATGATCCCCAAGCTTTCCGGTGAGGCCCCCGGCGCGCTGGAATGATCTATTTGTTGAGGTCCAAAGGTGCAAAATGGGTCAGCTGACCCCGGATTTGACTGTGAAGAAAGGGGCAGGCAAAGAGACCGCTAAAGGCTAGGGACACTGATGGGCCAAAGATCCAGGCAGTCAAATAACATCACGGGGCTTGTTATTGTCTACTTCTTCAGCTAACGTTCCCCCAAAACCCACTTGTCGTTTAGTGGATGATCGGTATATTCGCGCTCTGTACGTTCTTGCTGATTCTACTTGTCTATGGCTATTGGAGGGTAAGTTTTAGCGTACCATGCTTTAAAATTATCAATTATTTAGGGCATGTTCCAAGGGCTTCGGAAGAAGGCACCGAAGAATGCCACCTTCAAGGCAAATCTCGGGCGGTCCCAGTCATTCTTAAACTACACCAGCAGCCCTTACTATACAAAGAAACATACGCATGCTAGTCAGGTAATTTTTCATTTCGTAGGCATCGTTAAACATACATTTTAGATATCCCCGTCATCAATCGTGGTTTTATTGGATGGACAGGGCCAGCCTCCTCCAATGACACCAAACACAGCGGCCAAGCAACGTCCCCGACTGCCGCCTCCTCCCCCACCACCCTCCAATCTTTTGTGAGTCTCTAAGCATCAACAAAACAACTCGCTGAACTTTCAGGACAAAATCCAAAATCAGCATCCAAATGCCGGCCACCACCGGTTATGAAGTGCCGAACAGCCAGCTCCAGCCAGTCGACAACTTTGATGGACTCAGCTGGAAATTCGACGATTTCGATTCTGGTAATTTTTCTATTAACATTTCGAAAACCATTTACAGAAGCCTAGCTTCAAGTTTGGAAGGTAACTTTCTGGAACCTGTACTAACTTTTGTACTGGGGTTTCAGTCACCCACATTCGGTTTATGAATATTGATTGCGTTTTTGGTTGAGCTTTGATGTATTGAATCCTTTTAGGAGATGAAGACCTGCCAGCGCCATTCCAAGGATACCCGGGACAGATTGGGGTACCAACAATCCCAATCACCGGTGGGAGAAGCCCAATCCAACGTGTCACCGTGCAATACAGCGGTGGATCCGATGCAACGATGAGCACGAATTGTCCTTCCAACTCGAATTCCGATGCGTCTTTGATTGTTTAACCTATGTCTACCTGTTATTTGTCTTGTCTCGTCTTTCACTTCCCTTTCCCCCATTTCCCCCTCTAGAGCCCATCCCATCCATTGTGGGTTCTTTGATGTCTTCCCAAATACGAGGTCCGTCTTTTCCTTCGAAGCTTTATTTATGTCAAATTTTGTTGTTAATATACAGCATAAAGTTGTTCAAAAAACAATATATTCAAATGATACATTGATAAAAGCAGAAAAACACCTGGATCACAATAATTTGAGTTTGAGACGGAACACCCTAGTGTTTTGGGTACTATACAAAATATATATGTGTTGACTGGTAGTTTGCAGATAATTGGGAGATAATTCTAGTCATGTTATATAAAAAGGCATTAAATGGGTTTGGGGTTTTGGAGTAAGGACCTTAATTGGCCTCGAATATTAAGGCAATAAAATACATCCTATCCGGAGAGAGATCACCTCTTGATTGTCAAGTTAAAGGAGGTATTTTATGGGTATTGCACGTCAATGACTAGGCGTCCATAATTTCTTCCACCATTGGCGCTCTTCGGGTAGCAGGTTTTGTGACCTAAATTCATAGTTAATTGTAGTTACGTTAATTGCTGAATTTTACAGGTTTTAGCGTCTAACGTAATGTTGAAAGGCTTACATTATGCAAAAGATGACATTCCCGGTGCTTCCTGGCCGTCCGAATCAGCAACTGCACAATAGAAAGCAGCTCTTGAAACCTGCAAACCCGAAATTCCCATCCAAATTAGCTACTATTACCGCGCGGGACCATGTACAGCACCGAGCTTAGCCATCTGAAGCGAAAATAGCGCCTCCGAATACTTTTGTCTGGCTGTCTCGATGATCTTGCTCCCATGCTCCGTAAGCCCTTCGATCGCTGCAAAAATCGTAGAAATAAAAAGACCATAAATAAGACTCACCAGAATTTGTTAAAATAATAGCCTTGATGAGAACGTATTCCTCATGGGTTACTTTATTATTCCGCAAAGCTCCTAGGTTCGATGCAAAGACGGTTTCCATCATGGGTCTGATGCTAAAAATTTTTGTACTGGTTTTTCGACTTTGAACTACCTGTTCCAAAAGTTCTCCTTTTTCCAGGCCCAAACTTGGCCGGGGCGGGTTCCATCGGGGTGGACGACATACTGGGCGTCATGGTCTTTTAGGAATGAATAGAAACTTTGGGTAATTCCCAGGAGCATGAGTGAGACGTAGCGGGTGAGTATCACCTAAAAGTCGCAGTGAAAAGCTTAGAAGGCAAGGCTTTACCTTATCGCTTTCATCAAGTTGCGAGAAAAATTCGAATGTTTTCGTATATTCCACAGCCATCAGCAAGTCAAAAAAGAACCAATTCTTCCGGTTTGGCATCTTCAGCCTGAATATTTAAACGTTGTAGATTTTTCAAAGACAACATTAGGGGTTCCAGGCGACAACCAAAGGGACACTTGGGATAACATTGCAACCATCCCCCCACTCCACCCACATCACATAACCACACGCCCCTGACCCCAGAAAAACTCGTCCACAAAAACAACATAAGCAAAAAACGGTGCGGGGTAATGGATCCGAGCTAACGTACCACGCCTGTCTAACCGGGTCCTGGCATGGCCTGAAATGGGTGCATATGGAAAAGGCTGAACTGAAAATTCTCGGCCCTGCAAATCTGGCAAAGCAAAAAAAAAGATAAAGAAATGCCAAAAAAATTCAAAATTCTAGCTTCAGAAGTGCACTTACTTGCAGCCGTGTGACGGGTCAAATGGAGGAAGTGGTTTTAGGGGCCAATCGGGCATCGGCTAAGGAGATAAAGTTTATAAAACAAATATTAGAACACTTACCCCAAGGTTATCGGCTTGTGAGAGAGCGGAGTGCTTTTTTAGGATAGCTTTCAGGCCTCCAATCTCTGGCGGTCGAGGGTTATAAGTTGAAATCCGGAGTTTATCCACCGGAAATAATTTATAAAACTAAATTTTTGTCTTACCTTTATCTCAAGGTATTGCAAGCCTTCAATGAGCCTTTCAAATGTATTTTCCTTCAACCGAAGTTCCATCAAGATCTGAAGAAGGCCTAGATGTTGCACAGGAACTTGGCATACCTTGGAATCCCTCGGTGGTTCTTCCAGCTCTTCAGCATCGGTTGTTTTTCTTTTGGAGACAAGAGATCGGAACATTTCATTGGATTGCAGGTTTTTATCGGTTTGAATGGCTAAATTTTTAGCGTTTTACAAATAAGTTTTACATGTTTACCTAATGGGTTCATTCCAACCTCCACACATCTTTGAAATCGGCATGCTCGACAGGAACATCTCCTTTCTAATTTTTCAATCAAGACCAAAATAATTTTTTTTTATACCTTTCGGTAAAATCTCAAAACAGCGGCCACCCTTTTTACAAGTAAAATTCCGCTGGTCCAATACGGTACGTCGAAAAAACCTAAAACGAAACATAATAAAATGCTATTTGTCCTCACGTTTTGCATCCGTTACAGCTTGGCACATCATAATGGTATCCAGCTGCCTTGTCCCCACACACCACGCAAAACGTTGGGCAAACATTTTTGGGGAGATGGTTGAAGTCGAGCATCCCAACATCCGGCTGAGAATGACACATCATTTAGCCGAGTCATAAATAACCATACCTTAATATCCGGCGAAGTACTTCCCGATTGGGCAAAACCATCCGGTGTATCTTTCCCGTTAGAAATCGTCATCCCTCTGAAATACAATCGATTGAATCTCCATAAAATTTCACTTGCGAAATTGTCCCCGGTTACCCCACCCAATACCCTCAGTTTATTGTTTTTACGTTCAGAAACCGTTTTCGTGGGGCTTCTCCCAGATGAAATGCAAAAAAAACAACGGGTTTTATAGCCTGGGATAATCTTGTTTTTAGGAGTAATACATACCCCTTGCATGTCGAATTGTAGCGAGCACTCCAACGGTAGATTTGTGAAAAATTCGTTTGAGAAATCGCAGTAAACGACGTTCTGAAGTGGCACTTCCATCTGCGACCACAAGCAGTCTCTAGAAATTAGTGCTAAATCGCGGGTCATTACAAAAAGGGCTCCCAAGGGGAATTGAGGAACTTGCGGATGGCCGCCAGGCAAATTGGGAAGCGAAAGAGGTTGCCTGGAAACGGAGTGCAGTGGAATCACAAAAGGGGTATACTGATTCACAAGGCAAAAAGCTATAATGAAGCCCGACAAAATTGGGGTGGAAACGGAGGGAATGAACGAAGCGCGAAAAAGCGTGAACTGAAAGTGCATGGTAGCGACCATTTCCCGGTCCACCTTCATAGAGCTCAAGGTCAAACAATGGGTGACGGACGGACAACCTAGAATTCCCGAAACCCCTCCCAGAAACGCCACAAACAACAATACCCCCAATGCACAAATTTCTACAATTTTCAGGGCGGGGAAAGTAGGGTGAAATGTGAAGCCGCATCAGCCATCACGGGATAATGAGGTGCGCCATTGTTTCCAAAAAAAATGTGTATTGATTGGGGGTAGCGGATGGAAGTGGGGTGGGGGGGGGCTGTAGCCGTGCCCAGAAATAGCAGAAAATGCAAACACAATGGGTGAAGCCAGAGAGGGGGGGTTGGGTGACTACAACTTACTGCCCGACCCAACTGTCGCCGCCCAGTGACTGCTTCTCGAACTCGATCGATCGGGCCGTGTTTGGGTGATTGCGAGTGGCCATCACCCCGCAATGCCTGTGATGGTGTCGCTCGATTCTGAGCCAGAAGGGGAGCGAAGAGTGCAAAGCCTAAGAACGTTCAGTCAACGCGGGGATGGGAGGGAAAAGCTTTATGGCTTTTGAAGAGAAGAATGCCCAAATCAAGGAGGTGGGCGCTGTGATAAGAGGGGAAAACCGAGAAGCAAAGTCGAATAGGACTTGCTTTCTGCATAAGAATGCAACAAATTGATAAATCGGAACAGTGGCTATGAATCAGAAAGAATAAATAGTTCAATAGGAACAAGAGAAGCCGCCGAAACCCCTCAGAACGTACACGGCATGTATTTCGAGAAATGATGCAAAAGGAGTGGGGATGGGAGAAAAGAGAAACGGCTTTCCAGCCAGCTGTCCGCGATTACGTAACCCCAGTGCAAAAAAAAGGCTTTGGCGAAAAGCCAGGCCCACTTCCGGGCAACCAGTCTCACGTTACAAGCCGATAAAATTGAATCGATGCTTTGCGCGCGTGGCCTTGATAAAATCTCGTAGCTCACATCTACTGGTTTCCATGCGGTGTTGAAAAACCCGCTATAACGAGTTGGGGAGGAGGAGGTAGGCGAAAAAAACCAAATCGGGGGCTTCCCCGGGCCGTATCTTTCCAATTGTTGAAAACTGTCACCAGGGGGCCATGGCAGTTTATGTTCTCGGCGGAAATCAATGGGAGAAGCTCGTCGGGAGCCATGTGTGTATGTGTGTCTGTATACACAGTTGTGCCAACGGCTTTTGACGAAACGGTATGTGAGAGAGGGAGAGAGAAGAGACCGTATTGGGTTGTGGATGGTATGGTCGATCGTGTGAGTGGAGAGAGGAGGGTTTTGTGATGAGAGGCCCGGTGAATGGAGATCGAGGAATGGGGAGAAGGCGAGGCTGTGGTGGAAACGAGAATAGCAATGGAGAGGTGGAAGACATAGTGACAGACATCATCGAAACACGGCACCCGAGACCACCCGCCTGCTCTTCGCCTCCGCCCAGGTTCGCCTGCGCCAAACCATCGCCCTCTGCTAGGCTTACGTTTTGCACACAGACACGCACCCCTACCCTCTACGGACAGCACCTAAATACCAAATAACGAGCAGTAGCAGGGTTTGGGATTAAGGGGGTAGAGTGAACGCGTTGGTTTCCGGGATTTGACCTACACCCGGAAATTTGGAACGGCTACGAAGGTGCTCGCGTGGAATTAACAGAATATGCAAATTGGCTTCAGAATTTGTTGAAATCCGCTCGGGTTTAGACTTTAGGATTCTATGTTGCGAACAACAAAATTGTTAATTTTAATTAATAGACACGGAATCGATGACAGCCGATTTAAACAATACAATCTGAAAGGGCTACCAAATTACTAAAATCACTGGGTTATGCTAATTAGCTGAAAAAAATCTATGAGTTTTATCCACTAATGTAAGGCTTAGACCTTTAATCCTGGAAAGTGAATAAAAATTAAAAAATTCAGTAAATAAAAATAAGCCTAGAAATGCCAAATTTTATGCTGCATGCGACAACCTAATTAGCAATTAGTGGATCTTAGAATTTATGCTGAATTCAAGCAAATCTCCCCAAATTCAGACCCTGAATTAATGAGCATATAAGAATACACGGTGATCATCTGCCTGTAGCACGGGTCTACCATCTCAGAAGCCATTCGGCAGCAAAAAATGCACACAATCCCACCCAGTCAGTCAATAAACGGGCCGAAACATGGCCCGCGCCTCTTCGGACCAGAAACGTAGGAGTCTGTCTCATTGATGCCTCCGGCCCGACAAAAGCTAATGTTGAGAATGGGTGGGCCGGTGGTAGAGAGGGTAATTCAGAAATAAAGATTCTGCATCCAGGGATGCGGCGGGGTGACGGCAAACTGCCGAGTTGACGAATGAGAAAGGAAACTTAAAATTCTCGTGCAGAAACCGCATGGGAGGGATGGTAATTTTGATGTAATTAGGAGTTATTGGTCGTCGTTCAAGATGGGCTAAAATTCAGTTTTGATGTATTATAAAGGCGCCTATTACGTCATTAATGTTGTTCAATACATTTCGTACTCAATTCTGAGAAGCGTGCGGTATCCAATCAAGGCAAGATATTTAGACGAACGATCTAACAAATTAGCATAGATTCCGTCCCAATACGGCACCTTAGCAAAATATTTCTCTTTTGAAAAGAACCACCTCTAGAAGTGGTCAAATCGATCAAATTAACCGATTTTTTGATAAGGTAGTTTCAAAATCGATAAACAAATAAATATAAGACTACCTCCATTATAAGCTCCTTCTAACAAAATCCGCCGCTTAAATGTGATTCGGAAAAATGAAAACATTGGACTTAGCCAAAACCGAAAAATGATCAGAGGAAATACGGTATGCACACAAAAACCAAATTCACAGGCTGGAACAGAATTAGTTCTGGCATGTTCATGTGCTCCCGGAACAAAGATGCTCGATCAAAGCGTGATCCGTGCCCCACCCCACTCCATCTCATCCCCTCCCTACCCCTCCCACCATCCCCCCAAAAGCTGCCCGATCCCCCGGTCTTCAGGTTTTCTGGCTGGCCGATAGCTGGGAGGCGAGGAACTAATTTTGCTCCAGGGCGCGCCGGCTCGCAGGCGTGAAGCGGGGCGATTCGAAGGCGCGGGATGCACGTACTCACGGCCGAGAGATAGAATCTCCGGAGCACAACCGTGGAACAAATGTGGAATGTTTCGTGTTTTGATGCGGAATATTTGGAGGAATGTTCGGGAATGTATCAATTTGTGGTATTTTCGTAGCGTTGATACTATAAGTAAATCGGTATCTACGTTAAGAAAGATATTACTAATATCTTGAGCGTCAAAAACCACATATTAACGAAAGTGCCATACTTTGAGAGTAGATTTCTGATAACAGGTATTTTGTCCGGGACGCAAAACCAGAGAAAAAGATCTAACAACTGTCATGGTTTATAAAAGCTACCAATTTTCCGACATATGACAAATCCCGATAAAAGGATCGAACTCATTGAATCAAACTGAGGTGAAATTCTCAAACTGTGCGCGTTGAGTGAGAAATCAGGCAGGCTTTGTCGGGCGAATAGGGGCGTCACGAGAAAAATCGGCGGCACGCAGAGAGAGCAATGGCCGAGCACGGGTATCCTTGATACTACTTTGGCTTGCAAAGGGTCCCGATTCGGGCGCTGTACTTGTTTGCTTTGCCTATGCCTCAAAATATCGATAGGTTTTCGTAATTCGTAGCGTTTTTTTGGTGACTTAAGATCAATCGATAGTTTCCACATCGAGCTAGTTCTCCGATCGATTTTCAAAAGCAGAAAGCTAGAAGATAACTTAAAGGGCAAATTCTACCAATCGAAAATTTTGCATAATAAATTTTTCATGTTTTAAAGGCGCGGGGCCGCCCCGGGGTCCCCCCCCGGGGGGCCGGGGGTTGGGCCCCCGCCCGCCGGAATCATAAGTTGAATTAACCATTTCATAAATCTATAAATATCTTATTATTGGCGATTAAAGCATCAAAACATAATTATTCGGGTTGTTTTTCTGTCTAAACTATTTTTTTCTTTGCCTGCAAATAGATGGTTAGCCCTCCCCACCTCTTAAAATGCCAATGCGCCCCCAACAAAGCTAGCAATTAGAATAATAGCCAAAAATCTCAACTGCAGCGAACAAAAATAAAAAACCAGAAACCTGTTCAAAACATTGAAACCAAGCTTTCCAAATGCAAATTAGCGAATCAGATGCCTAGAAATCAAAAAGAGAGCATCATATGGTCAGTTGGTCCTCGATTTTCCAGTTTTGACTGCATCTTATTTCAAGCTGCCGCCGGAAAAGATGGCGCATGCGCTAATGCGAGCCGGGAAATAGACGTGGCGTGAGGATCTCCGCGTGGCAATCTGGCAGGAATATGCGTGGGAACATATGGCCCATCGTTCCCTTTAAGGCCAGGCAGAAAAAATTTCCTTAATAGATAATTTTGACACGTGAAATTTCTGTTGCTGCATA